TAATTTATTATCCTACTAGCATTTGCCCTCGGCTCCGCCGGTATTGAAGTCGGTTATCGGGGTTAAAAGTAGCCTTTGTCTTTCCTCAAGAATCAAAGTATCTTCATACCAAATTTCATCTAAAACAAACAAACTTCCACCCCCCTTTTCACCATCTTAAAGGATGATTTCTGTAATAAAAACTGCCCTATGTCCTTTCCCGGGGCTCGGACGATCTCTGTACAAAATTTCATCTAAATCGGTTTAGCAGTTTAAGCGTGAATAGGAACAGACAGACACACTTTCGCATTTATAATATTAGTATGGATGTTAGAAGATTTTTTGTGAACAAATTTATAATTTTCATACGCAATATTTTTGATCACGTGCCCCTGACCATTCGTAAAGCTTTATAAATAATTTGTTTTTCTAACAATTTCAAGTTTAAGAGTTGTAGTTTACAACACAGTTGTTGTACTTCAAGGTCAGTAAGAAACAGAAAGTTTGCTAAGTTCTTGTTAAAGTTTACCAACATCACAGTATATTGCTACATTTTTACATTTGTACTTATGTTGCCTTTTTTTGCGATTTTTTGTTAAAGGACTCTTGCTCAAGCACTACCTTAATTTGTCGAACTCAAACCGATTCAAACGACGTTATATATATCCAACACCTTTAAACGAGCAATTCTTGTATATATTGATTGCATAAAACGTTTAATTTTCCGGCAGAAAATTCAAATGATTTTCGACTCAAAATGATGGTCTGAATACACTATTTCAATATTCGTTACGATGTCCCTTACACCCTGTATATCGGTATATCTGTATCTCTGAATCGGCTCTAACGATATTTATGAAATTTAGTATGCAGGGGGTTTCGGGGGCGATTAATCAAGCTAGGTTTCATTTTTTGAATTTTTAGAATAGATATATATATATATATATATATACATACACATACAGAGCCTTTGCCAACCCCTACATGGAATAGAATGTTAGCCGTAACAGGCTTGACCGGCACTGAAGAAATATACAGCCGCTACAACGCCCCTTTTTGATCTGACGGAAATCTATCATGAAAATAACGAACATTTTGCGCTAGTAAAATTGTAAACACCACACACCCCAGTATATCGTTAAAGTTTACCACAATATTGTTTATGTCTTTTATGTACTGAAAGTACATTTTGACTTGGCCTCGGTGGTACACTGTTAGGATATGCGACTGCTGTGCTGAGGTCTCGGGTTTGATTCTCCGGTCGGACCAAATGTTTGTATGAACTGCAAGTATCTGTTTCAGAGTTTGGGTATTTTCTATGTATAATATGTATGTATTCACAAAAAAGTAAATATTCTATCAGTCAATCTAGCTTTCATATTACAAGCTCTGCTAAGTTTAAAACTAGATGGCGTTAGATGTCTGAAAATATTATATTAATATTTTATTATATTATTTTAATAATAAAATTGCTCGTATTTCTCACGAAAACAAGAAAAACGGTAAAGTTTAACATTTTCAATCGAACGTAAAATGTAATTCTTCAATTATTCAATCCATTAAGAAGATTATTCATAAAATCAATTTTAAATATAATTGCATAATTTTGAAATTAGTTTTATAGATTTTTTTAATAATGGATTAAATTATTCCAAAATAAAAACATTTTTATTCCATCTGATTTTATGAAACTCGGTTCTGATCTGTAAATTGAAACGGTCATAACTTTTAGACGGTCATATTTTTTCTTGTTCTTAAATGCTAGAGTTACGCCCTTTCAGTGATTTTAATAAGTGTTTCATTTATTTGTATACCCAATACATTACAGATAAATTACAGCCAGACACAAAACAAATGATCATGTCACACAATAATTTGTCCTAGGTTGATTTAAACCCACGAACTGTTTAGCAGTCAGAATAGTATATATTGTATGTATATTATGTATTTTTATGTATGTATAATTATATTACAATGTATATTTATTTATTTTTACACTACGTTAGCTTCAATACAACTAGACTACCCACTGTTTCTTCTTATCTACTGTTGATTGACTGCACAGATGGCGCAGTGGTTTAAGTGGTCGCCATGCCGCTTCCTACTGCGCCGAGTGTTGTGGGTTCAAACCCCACATGGGACGACACTTTGTGTGATCCACAAATTGTTGTTCTGAGTCTGGGTGTTTTTTGTGTCCGTTTCATATATGTTTGTAAAGTCCCCCGCGACACAGGATATATTCCTAATGCGGGAGTTGTCTTTTTTAAAAGAGAAAGAAAAAAAGATTTGTCCATCCAAAGGTTGCCTGTAAGAGATTGCTATTGGCAATAAGGCCGCCCATTGTACATATCCATCTGTAATATTTAACCAACTTTCTGTAATTGGTGTACAATAAAGCATATTCTATTCTAATAGTTAAGCACTAGTAGCAGTGTGTAGTTGTATATGTCTTTCTCCACCCCGCTCTAACACATCACTCGTTCCAAACAGACCTTAGGACCGTATTTCTACCCACGTGTATTATCTCATGTCCAGTGAATTTCACATGCTTTTATCTTTCCACATTATTAATCAGTCTTACTCTCCGCCGGCTTCTCAGTATTAAGTTTTAAGTGTCAGTAATATGTGATAATTGGGTATAATGGAAAGACTAATTAGGAACCAACACGAAAGCATGAACCGTTAATCATTTGATTCAGCGACAAAGGACTTTATAGTAATTATAGTAATAAATAATTCACTTTTACATAAGTATGACCGACTTCAACGCGCCTAATTAATGATGCATTAAAATAAACTGCATTCTTCTTGTGAGTGAATTGAACGAATCTTTCAAATTTTAAAGGGTCTCATTTAAATTTAAATGTAAACGAAAAGTATAAGCACACAAATTTAAAAAAACCGTTCAACCGACGGAGTTCTGAGGTGACAAAAGTAAAAAAATACAACTTTTAACTTCGAGTCGGTTAAAAATGAGGCGATACTCAGACGAAAGAAGATTATTCACACAACATATGATTCTCCAACTTCATAGTGGGTAGAGCACATAGTGGATAAATGCAGAAAGTCAACACATCACACATCACATCAACAGCCTTTAACAGTCCACTGCTGGACATAAGCCTCTCCTTAGTAAGGAGGTTTTGGCCTACTATACCACGCTGGTCAGACAGGTTGGAAAGTCAACGAATAACCTTATTAATATCACAGGTCTCTTATTCGTCTTAGAAGTCATTCAGGAACGCCTATGTCCAACGGTACGTAATCTATGTCCAGTAGTACGTGTCGTAGTACTAAACGTGTGGCTCTCAGACATGAAAATAATGGTGATAAATAAAAAAGCACTAAGCCCCGGCAGCAAAGAATTAAGTGGTTCCTATAAAACACAGCAGTATTGGCTCATTTTATTCTAGGAGTACAGTTAGCAACAAATATCGCTAAAGTCAAGGAAACACCAATTCTACTCACTACGTAAGTCTGGTACTTGATCTTGTCTTGATAGTAGTTTAGACTTGATACAGATCCAGTGATATAACAACAGATAATAAACGTTACATAAAATACCCACCTAAATATAAAGATTGTGTTAGGAGAACGATCATTTGTTCAGTGTTTGGGTATAATTTATCTATGAAATGTACTCGTATATATATATTTATAAACATATAAGTATTCGGAAATAGGTAGCTGGTTGACGGCAATAAGTTTGCTGTGGTTACGTAAGTGGCACTAAATTTATAGTTGGCAAAATATAGGCGTTTAATTCATCCGTCTACTATTTTGAGGATAAAAGGCGTGAGTGTATAATTATAAATATGTTAAGATTTTAATATAATATTTTCGTACATCTGAAACACAACATCATCTAGTTTCAAACTAAGCAGAGCTTGTACTAAGACACTTTGTGTGATCTACAAATTGTTGTTCTGAGTCTGGGTGTTCTTTGCGTCCGTCTCATTTATATTTTAAAAGCATATATTCCTAATGCGGGAGTTGTCTTTAAAAAAAAACTCCATACATTAAAATAATTTGTGACAAATATCTATAACGTAACTAAATAAATTATTTGTTTACTATAATACGAATACATGAACAAACACGCACACACTTTCGTACAGTACACATATATTATATCGCAAGTTTTCCTGAAACGTGCGCATGAGTGGCCCGATGTTCTTCCGGTCACGTACACAGAGTAAATACATAGTTAAATTTATGAAGACCGGACATGTCTTTCATCACCGGAGTAACCTTTTAACCTTTGAGTACAACTGTAAAATAAATTCAAAAGAAATTAAATAATTAAAGAGTTACTATTTATTATAAATATAAAATAAGTTCTTTGACTGATGTTAAAGAATCGTAAAATTTAATCTTTCCAAATAACTTTATATGTTTTGTGTCTAGAGATATTCAGAGACGAAATGAAATATTTTGGTAGTTTTCTTAGTACATAGTATATATTATGTCCTACATGAAAGAAGATAAAATATATTATCCCATCAAGTTTCGAAATGAATTCTTGAATGATATATTTTTAACTCCACACATAAATTCTGAATTCTGGTGGTTTGTGTAAATTGCAAATAAATAATTTAAAAAAATAATTCTGTTAAGACTTGTAACTGCTGCTGCGAAATATATATTTTTTTTTAAATCTGTGAGTACACAGTACAGTTCCTGGATTAAAGATTATTATAAAAATAATAATAGATAATACAAAAGGGAGGTTTATGTCCAGTAGTGGACTATTAAAGGCTGTTAATGTGATAAAAATATTTGCATTGCACGATATCTCACTATTACATACATAGTTTATTTTTCTTAAAAATCTAACAAGAGATAACTTGTCTCCATCGACCCATACTTACTCTATGACCGGCGCCGGCGCATTTTATAAAGCAACAAAGGTCGACACAACACAACAGCTCATCCGTTCGGTCAGTTCGTCACCAACGCGCGAGTCGAGAGCACGTTAGCGCGCGTTTTTAAACACTGCACATTATTTATTTTCTTTAAAAATGTTGTTTTTCGTAACAGTAACAGTTTTACTGGCCAGTGCCAACGCCAAGTTTTGGACCGATTGTGGTAATTATTTTGTTTTACTTTTAAAATCAAATAATAGATTTTTTTGACAGGAATTGTGTTATATTAGTTCATTGCGTATTATGTGATAAGGACGATTTGTTTGTGCGTAACACATTTAATGTACACAGTTAGTCCAAAATATTTTCATTAAATTTAAATGACATCAACCAAATTAAAAATGACTTACCGCCTCTTTTTGGCAAAACTTTTAAAAGCTGATCATAGTCACACATTTTTTTATGCATGACGATTTTTTTTTATTCTACCTACTTTATATTTTGGCGTACTCGTATCTACAAAACAAATCCATGTTTCTCATTTTAGGTTCTTTTCCCATTTCTGTTTTTTCGTCAGATTATCACTTAGAAGAGCCTCTTGGCCTAGTTAGTGATTCTAACTGGTCAGCCAGAGGTCGTAAGTTCGATCCCCACCCAGGACAAATAAATGTGTAATGAGCACAATCATTTGTTCTTTTGTAATTTATCTACAATATGTATGTATTTAGAAATGTATCAGTATATTTATCAGCAGTTTGATTACCATAGTACAGGCTCTGCCTAATTTGGGATCAGACAGCCGTGTGTGAGATGTGTAAGGTTATTATTACTTAAAGTTAACTTATTAGTTTTCTTTGTAACAATTGTTCTGCGTTGTTTTCTGTTGGCTGCACGTCTTCAATCATTATCTAAGTAGTACGATGTGTTTATTACATATATGTCTAACCAAAAGACACACAATTAAATTTCTTGATGTATCATCAGCCGTAGTATCAAAGACTGCTGACACATTGTAACTGAAATAACAAATACGTGACCCATACAAGAGTTGTAAGAATTTGCATCTACTCTAATTGGAGCTAACCGACAAGTCCAGTAACTCAATATAATTTTACAATCAGTAGTACATATTATGCCTACCATGCGTGGGTCGCAAATTCATTTCCCGTTCAGTGTAAATAAAATAATTCCTTCGCACAGATGGGTGAGATTATCTCATGTAATTTTTCTCAAGTTTATCAAATGCATAGTTTTATTAACGAATCCAGAAAATGCATCGTTTTTTATTTAGTATCTTTTTACTAGCCTTATGGTCGAACTTTAACCATAGGGTTAACATCGACACCACCAATTTGGAAGCTTTTAGTTTGATGTTTAAAAAAAAACGTAATAGAAACTATAACTCTATGATTACATTACAAAAACATACAGGAACATACTCTATGATAATAATAAAAATATATAATAATAATATATTCTACCACATTCACACAACGCCATCTAGTCCCTAACTAAGCAGAGCTTGTACTATGACACTGATATAAATGCATATAGGTATATCTACTTTTTAAATAATATAATTTAAATTAAAAAGAAACTAACCCCGACGATGAGAGCTTGTCCCAGAACTGATAATCGTGTCCCCTGCTAATCAGATTTTCTTAAAACATAACTTTAAATCAAAGTCACTGTCAGTTTGGAACTATGGTTCTAAAAGATTGACACAGATACAGATACATAGACAGGTTTAACCTATTTTTGTGTATGGGATTATAAATCGATGGCAATAATCCACGTTTTCTGACACCGTCCCACTCACATTATCTGTACCAAATTGTACTAAATTAAATTCACTCACATTTCAAGTATTTATAACCTATCTGGAAAAGTCTACGGCAGCTCTCAACTTGGGACAAATGATTTTATTACCTTACAAGGTAAAATCGACTTTAAAAGCAATGTTTGTGCCAACTAACAATAGTAAAATCACAGAATTAAACCTTTCATTGTTAGCCTTATGGTCGAATATTAACCATGGGGTTAACATCGACACCAACAATTTTGAAATTAGTTTTTTTTTTTTTATTTCTACTCTAGATATATATATATATATTGTATATAGTTATAATAATAGAGCGATAAATTTCACACATGGCTCCAATTCCAAATTTGGCAGAGCCCGTATTATTGTAACCAGACTACTGATAAATACACTTAACTATACTAAATACATCCATATGATAAACAAATTACAAACCAGACAAATCAAATGGCCGCGATCACTAGTTGCACTAGTTGTCTTGGTCAACACATCTGGCTCATTACTTAGGATCACAAACCAAAACTCAAACAGGCAACTTACGCATTGTACATCTGAGACAACACACTTTTATATCTATATTATATTATTATGATTAGAAAATTGATGTATTTAGGAATATGGGTTAGAAAAATGATATAAAAATTGTAATGTAATGTATATTTGTGTCATTGGAAGATTGCTGGTACTTATAGCTCAGGTATTACTCGTACCTATTTTAAGTGCCAGCCGAACATGTTTTGGAATGTAAATGTGCATACCTATAAAATTTTCAAAAGAGTCAGTAACTATTGTAAAAGAATAAATAAGTAAATAAATAAATAAATATCAATAAAATTGATGTTCAGCTATTAGTGAAAACAATGTTTTTTTAATAAAACAATAGTGCTTCATTCTCACTCAACGACAAAACTAACTAAACGAAATAAAGCAATTCGGTTCACAAACAGAGAGGAAAACGGATAGCGTAGTGGTAGTGTTATGGGTCCGAATTCCGATCCCCACATGGGACAACACTGTGTGATTCACAAATTGTTGTTTTGATTCTGGGTATTCTTTGTGTCCGTTTAACTAAATTGTATCGTCTATACCTATGTACCTATATAAAAAACTAAAGGATAAAAACAAAATAAAACATATCTCTTTATATATTTCTTTAATTTGGTAGGCACAAAAATATATATTTTTTAATTAATATTCAATCAATTTACTGTCTATGGAATTCATCGTGAACACGTCTCAGATCAAATATGTATAAATATTTCATATTAAGTATATTTATAATAATATTGCGATAAATAACACAATCAGTTTGACTCGAAGTTCAACGGACTTAATCAGCTCGTAACTCTTCTATTGAAATAATATATTTGAATTACTTGGGAATATGATAAACTGAGTGTTTTGGTCAGTTGATGTCTGTGTCCTAGCTTTTCGATCAGTATTTCTCATCCAACCTCCCTTTCCTATCCGTTTTACTAACCTAAATTTACTTTCTTCCTATGTCTCGTATAAAAACGGTTACATTTTTAGTTACACCGCACGGTGGGCTGTAAAGCCGTTTTCATAAACTTAGTTTTTTTGTGTATAACAGTTGTTACTATTTGAGAAAATGACACCCGGGTTGATTCTGCACAAAGACGAAGGAATTCGATTTTTTTACGAAATAGCTTACAGTGACCCACAACCAAATGACTTAAATGCCATGCTCTTATTCAATTGAATCTTCAGTCTTCTTCATTGTAATAATGTGATCAGAAACAGTGTAACTTTCCTTTGCCATTTGTTTTATACTGTCAAAAATTATATCGACAGTAAACCGTTAATGAGTTTCACTACCCTCGAAGTGCGGCTAGTGGCGACTTGAGGAAAGTGCCATGATGGTGGCGTTAAAAGGAGTCAATGCTTCAATGTTGACTGCACGGATGGCGTAGTGGTTTAAGCGGTCGCCACGCCGCTCACTACTACGTGGAGTGTTGTGGGTCCGATCCCCACTTGGGACAACACTTTGTGTGATCTACAAATTGTTGTTCTGAGTCTAGATGTTCTTTGTGTCCGTTTCATGTATGTTTGTAAAGTCCCCTGCGACACAGGATATATTCCTAATACGGGAGTTGTTTTAAAAAAAAATGCTGTGCTGTGAAATAAATGCACTCTTTGACAGTCGGGTTATCTACCTATTTGTGTAAAGGTTTGACTCAGCTCTAAGGTCACTCAGACACTAGACTATCGCATTAGTAACAGTCACGACAGATATTAAGGAGGTTAGCGTCGTAAAAATATGAATCTAATTAGTCATACTTCTTATCAGTTTGACCAAGTTAATGTGAAAACTAAAAGAACGCTTCTTATCGGAACTAAAACATTTATTGTATTGTACTAAAAAAGTTATTTGACTACATTTTCCAAATTCACAGGTATTTAGAATAGATAAGAACCTTAGGATTGGCATCGTTATTTTTATGTACAAAAATCCATTGTTGATTGAAAAAAAAACAACTAGTAAAATTAGTAAACATCTAAAAAAATATAAAAGCACAATGAGATAAAAACAGAAAGCAATACAGGCCAGACAATAGACAGGAGTGTCATCATTAACCTTGGTGATTCTAGTGTCAAAAGTTCAGAGGAATGCTTTAAACGTTCAGTTGTCTGTTTACAAATTCAACAGACGAAAAATTAAAAGTGCACATTCGGAATACACAGAAAGGCGTTTTATGAATTTTCTCGAATTAATTGGATCGTGCGCTCGCTTGCAGAGGTCCTAATTAGGACCCACGCGTTTTGTGCATAGGTGGTGTATCTACCTACCTCTTGTTTCTATATAATTTAATTGTTTTTACAACGTTATTCTTGACCAATCCCTTCAGATCACTCTCCGACTAAATCGAGTTTAAAAAAGTAGGAAGTTCTTAATTTTTCAAATATTTGTTACCTAAAACCTTTTTACCGTTATTGTGAACCGATTTAGAAAATTATTTTTATTTGAAAGTTAAAAATATTTTAACTTGAACCTAGAATAAAATAAACTCTACTGTAGTAGGTATTTTTTGTTTTTACAAAACTACATCAAATTACCATAAGTAATATCTTACAGACAATCTTTGAATAGAAAAATCTACTGTAAGACTCAAAATACTTAGATGAATAATGGGTAGTTTTGGTGTGAAAAAGTGTAAAATAATCCTAACAAACATATTATACAACAAACAGTATTTGATTTCTATAATAAAAAGACTAGCACCTATTTAAATTTCAAGACATATTTCCACCCCCTAAGAACGAAGGAATGGAGAATACACTGTATGAGCTACAATTCATCATTATATAGGCACTAAATTCGGTAACACTAATATAAAAGTTTAATTTCGTTGAAGTAATTAATCTAACTGAGTGATTAAGAGTAACTAAACAGTTTTAATAGAGGCGGTCCGAGTTTAAACTATTGTGTAAAAACTGTAGTTTAAATTCTGCCCGCTTTTATTAAAACTATACAATACATTTTGCAATAGTAAGTGCGATGGTAGGTAATCGAATGGTGTTATGACATCGTGAAACACGCAAAGCGTAACTTCGTTAAATAAAACGGACATTCTGGTAAACGAAGCGTAAAGTTATCGTTGTAGTCTAAAATACTACTAAAAAACCTAAGTACTAAATAAGCTACTAAAAAACTTAATTTCTAGTGCACCTACTCAGACATTTCCCCACTACCTAAAGGTAGACTGATAAAATATTTGTGACATTAAGTACGCCATTGTGTAATTAATTGGAATTGTGCACAAAGAATTAAAAAATAAATAATAATATTTGTACACTACAAGAGAAACTTTAGATACCATAGAGGCAGTGACTGGTTAATTTAAATAAAGATTTTTGGTTAATTCATCTCTTCTTTGATATAAATGTTATAACATTAAACTGCAAGTCTAAAAATCGTACTTGATTATAAAGTGATGTGATATCATAAGAATGCCTTAGACATTAAGTCCGCCGATGCATATATTTGTGCATAAAGTTATAAAATAAAATATTCAATGGGAATAAGTTATTACCATTAAATATCTAGGTATGAATGTATACGGTATTTAAAAGAAAACTTATAAATATATTAAAAATGAAATCCCTGAAACGTAGATTATCATCTACGTACTTTAGGAATTACCACAGATACCACATTCCTGTTTTAAATACCCTTCATATTTATTTATTTTATATTTAGAACGTAGTCACTGTAAGTATTTGAGCTATATATTAAAAACGACTAATTCCAAAACGAAACCATTCACTTTATGGTGTCATATCTATTTAAATAAAAATGAGTCGTCTAATGTGTTACTAAGCGCAAAACTCGAGAACGCCTCAACCGATTCGGCGATTTTTTTCTTTTCGTTCTTAAGGTTAACGTAATAAACGTTGATAAGGCTGTATCATAGAGCAACATGTGGCCTGTGTTGCTCTATGGGCTATGTGGATATGAACCTATGATAGGCCAAAAAAAATATTGAAGAAATGCGATCTCTCTGAAATACATTGTATTTATATATGAATAGGCCAATAACTTTTGATAGATCGAAGTCTGTCGGGGCAGCTAGTTTATTAAATAATAAAACACAAAATCGAATAAGTAAGAGTATTGATTGTTTTTTTTTTAATCTGTACATAATTGACCTTATCGCCGTTTGTACTGCACGAGCTAATTGTGTACGCATGTTATTTTTTCGAGTTTACCACGAATTATTTTCATTATTATTTATATTACAAGTGTTTATTACCTAGAGGTTTAGAATCATTACTGAAGGCTATGAATAAAAAAAAAACCAACAGTAATAGTATCATACGTATTAGAATTTTGACCTTATATCTAGTATGCCTTATCTAGCTCAGAGCACGTAATCTAATCTTTTACTCCAACGCACATTCACGTGTCGTCCAAAACGTAGAACAGCCATTTAGTTGCATGATGCAATTCAGTGTGAATCATCTTGAGATCTGGATAAGAACTAGAAGTAGATGTGATCTCACACAAAATAACACATGCACATTTCTGTGGTTATTTAAAAAAGATCACAGAACTTTTGACAGTCAAACTCCCGCCATTTACTTACAGATTAAAAAACAGAAGGCCAACAAAAGCACTGCCTTGTACTATCGCCAGTGTTAAAATATTTAATTACCATTATAATAAACCAGCTAATTATTGTAAAAAAACAAAAAACCCACCGACGTGAAAATGTATAGGTACTTAAAATTTACAACTCGTCGGGACTTTAATAGCCCTAATTTTCATATACCCAATGGCACTTTTACAATTAAGATTATTCTAACGACATCTCGCAAACAAATCCAACATAACATAACCCTCCTTCTGGTCCGGCAGTCGGGAGACTTGACGAAACCAACATTGATTTTTATAGATTAGATTTATGCCTATGAGTTTAATTATTATTATTATCGATCGGGATCAACGAATACAAAATATTCTAGGTATGTACTTGTCGAGAGAATTTTTCAAATGTCAAGAAATTAACATACATACAACACAAAATCTGACAAAATTTTGTTTCAAAAATAGGTTTTCAAAGAGAGTTTACGTGGGTGGAGGGAGGAGAAGAGGGGGAGCTGCCTTCCTATCCTCCTGGCTTCTAAGTTTAAAGTAATTTTAAGTAATATTTTGATTTGCCTTTCTAAGATCGACAAAAACCGAATTTGATTCTATGCCAATAAAAATAACTTTTTTCACTTCTAGACTCCTTCGAAGATCATTCTATTCCATTGATTAGGTAGGTATAATAATATTGTGTATGTATTTACGTTTATGTATAAATCCTAGGCTTTTAAAAAAACTTCAAAGTTAATTATATCATACATACATTAGTAGCAGTTTTTATTTAATATAGGTACAAGAGTTTGTTGTGACTTTAATGAAATGAGAATGTCAAATGACACGAGTTGAATACCGAACTTTGAAGCACATTGAATATCTCTTACAAAAATTGCTGTCGAATCGTTTGTTTTCACAATGATTTTATTAAAAAGAGACATAGTCATTTATTTGTTTAAATTTTACAATTAAGAAAAAGCTTACAGTTCATTTGAATAGGAGGATAAGCATTCGTTCTTTTCATTTGCAAACTTTTTTGAATCGTTGTTCATCTCCAGAGATATATGATCTAAAATGTTCATAAAATGAAAACTACTGGGCCTAACTATGTTAAATTTATATGGGACCAAATGGCAACTATTCGGCATCAAACTAAAGAAGAATCACGTAAATCGGATCATAAATCTCAGAGTAATCGGTGTACATACATAAAAATAAAAATACCAATCGAATTGAGAACCTCCTCCTTTTTGAAGTTGGTTAATAAAAATACTACATTGTTTAAATTAGACCGGGTTTAATGTTTAAAATATTATATCATTATATAAAATCGTAAATTTTAACGAATATAATTAGGGCTATCCTTTGATAAATTTATGTACTTGAATCACAACTAAAATATATATTTATTTAAATATAACTACGCCTCATTAGTTTCAGTATAAATGTATAATGTTTATTTAATAACAGAGACGGCAATATATACAACCATCGAGTTAATGGCTACTGACACAGAGCCACTTAAGTGTTCATTTACTGCTGTAACTGCTTATGTAAACAATATTGCCATTGTTGTGACCCTATTCTCCAATTCTGTAGCTTCAACGTAGTACCAATCATAGAATCGTTTAGTGTATCAAAGATTTACTTTTATAAGGTTTTAACCACAAAGGCACTAGATCTTCTTAAAAGCAGTACGGTAAGATACTGGCTTGGGATCGCGTTCAAATTCCACTGAGCACACTACCTATATGAACTTGAATGTGATTATGTTGAGTTGATGGTTTTTTTTTTTTAATATTGCGAGGCCAGCATATCCATCTGCCAGAAATATTTAAAATTAGCATAAAATCCAATATTTGGACACTGACATGCACATGACATAATATTAATATTATTCTCATCTACTGACGTGTCATTCATAAATATTTTTAATCTGTTGCACTTAGACTAATGTAAAATCGGCTATCAATTTGGCACATTGACTTAAATAACATTTACAAATATTCGATATATTCGATTACCGGACCGGGCAAAATTATGTTTTTTTCTGAGAGGAAAAATAGCCTAAGTTACTCCTTATATAGACAGCTAGCTGATAGTAAAATATTATCAAAATCGGTCCAGCCGTTTAGAAGATTACCCGGAACCAACAGACCGATGGACAGATACCCTGACAATAAATATTTAAAAATATATATTTGACAATAAATATTTTTAGGCATAGGTATCGTGCAAATAACCGTGTGATCATGAAAAAGCCCTATTATTTTGTCATTATAAATAGACACTTCAATTTTATATATTGGTACTAACTGACCCGGCAAACGTTGTTTTGCCATATACATTCTTTCAAATTTTTTTGTCAAAAAAATAAAAAATAAATTAGGGGTATGAAAAATAGATGTTGGCCGATTCTCAGACCTACCCGATATGCACACAAAATTTCACCAAAATCGGTGGAGCCGTTTCGGAGGAGTTCAACCACGTACACCGTGACACGAGAATTTTATATATTAGATAGAATACCTTTTAAGACATTTCTAAGATCGAGAGTAGATCGGAACCAATCGGAACTGAATATTTGACCGATTTTTTTTACAAGAATTGGCCTCCAGGTGACCCGGCAGCTCGTTGGCCTTCTATACCATAAAATATATATACGCCTAATTTACTTTTCTCCCATTGTACAGCCAACAATGATTTAGATACTGTTAACAATTTCATGTGCGTGGGGCGTGACGCAATGAATGTGATCGAATAATATATCCAAACCATACATCCGTTACTAAATAAAGTATTTGGTATTTGTGATTTGGGTGTCACTAATGTACCAATTATTTGAACATTAGACCTTCTAGAACACGATAAAAAAACTTCTAAAACAAAAAACTGACGGAAATGCATTTATATGCCTTTTTAATGTAGTATGTTTTTTATCATCAATGAGGTTAGGACGAAATGATCTATGGTTCCTTAGCTATGGCTTGTACAAGCAGGTGCTAGAAGGGGTCCGGTTGTCTTAATAAAAGCTGTTCCTAAATTCCTCCTATTTGAGGCGCATGTATGACAAGGCGCGTGGTTTAGTCTGTGCGCTATGAACACACCGCCATACTGCCAACCCCGGTGTGATTCACAAGTACAAAAACAAGGACGAAATGATCGGAGGAACTACGCCATGTAATTACACTAAACGTCTATCAACTATTACAAAGTAAATAATATAAACTGTTATAATATTTTCTTCCAGGATCCAAAATGGGTAAGGTAGAGAATGTGGGTGTCAGCGGGTGCTCAGAAGATGCAAAGGAATGCGTTCTCAAGAGGAATACCAACGCCACCATTAGCATTGACTTCACACCATGTAAGTTACTCTCTTCTTACTCCTGTTATAAGACTTAGAATCATTATCATTCCGGCTTCCTTCATTTTCTTGGTCTCTTCTCTGTCGGCGTAAAGTATAACATTGTTAAAGGATTTTCCAGGGTTTCTTTGCGGGCCGGATGCCAAACCTCCTTGGGAATTAATAGTTTTCAGATGTAACAAAGAAAGAAGCCAAATTGGGGTAATGAGTAGGTAGAGGAGGTTAAAGTAAAAGTTCTAAAGTAAAAGGTATCGCAAGTCTCAGATGGGGTAACGGGATTAAGACTGCAGAAGTACTTATCCGTATGTCTGTGATGAGAGAGGCCACTAGGACAGGGTCATAATCAGCCCCTAAAATATTTTAATAAATAAACAAAACATTGTTTCAGTGAGATTACCTGTTAATAAAATATATTATATATTAGAACTAGCTGTACCCTGCCGCGCTTTGCTGTAGCATATTGTGATTGTATTGATGAAAAACAAGGAATAATACGCAAAATATAGATAAAAACAACACATGACGCGGATTGCATATCGTGTCATGAACTCAATTCGTGCAGAACTTTAATGTTTTTTTTAAATGTACATATACCAACTTAACATGATATATATATATATATTCCCTATAGATTTATTATTAGTGAATTTATTATATTTCCAACTCCTCCAATTTTCTTCTGATTAATTTCGTTGCGGGTTCCAAGACAGTTTAAATTTTCTTGGGACTTCCCGAGTGTCATAACTCGGTGTGTTCGTGGGTCACTGCTGTTGATCCTGGTGTACAGGAGTTACAGTGGTGGGCATGTGGGAGGGATTAGTCCCATCTCAAATTCCCTAAATATAATTACATATGACTATCGATTTTTGCAATATCATTGTTAACATTACTACGTACAAAAGTACGTAACTCTTTTTATTGCTTATTACAAAATAAATATCAAAATTAAGGAGAAGGATTCCACAAGTTCAGTTTTCAGTTTAATTTTATAAACTCTGACACATTAACGTTCTCAAGCAAATTTTAAAAATAAGCGAAGGGCAGAATATAAAAGAAGTTTTCTTAAATAACATTATTGAAAACGAGTGCGAAATGTGCATCTCGCTCGTTTATTAACATACAATTATAACTATTTATACCTTAACTGTGCTTCAGTAATAAAGCCGTCACGTGAGCATAGATAAAATGGTTAATTTCTTCTTTTATATGATTTGGAGCCAGAAAAGGGTTTACGTTTCAGCTACGTACAACAAAATGTAAAAGACTAAAAAAAACTCGAAAAACAGTAAAGCAATATTTTTTAATCATTATCATTTTATCCTTTGCGAAAGTTTATCTAAGATTTTTGGAAAACAAAACCTAAAAGTGAAATAAAAATAAAACATGAAATCGTACATGTTGCGCCGACCTCATGTTGCGATTTATCACAATGGCAACAGATTTTTCCATTTATAAGCTTAAGAATTTACATTGTCCTTCCCATTTTTCCCTGTTTAAAATATATTTAGGAAAAAAATATAATTACTTTTAAATCTTTTGACATTAAACATCTTTATGTTAAATTTAGCCGGGGCGCGTGACATTTCACCGATCGTCACGTTATCAAGGGATAGGGATAAACTTATGTACATTAGTATTTACGACAATATTCAATAATATATGAGTATCGTAGCTTCATCAACGGTTTTCCTGTTTTTAGTTAGTTATTGTAGGTTATTTATGTTTATTTGCTATCATAAAGAAAATGTATACCTACCTCACTACCTGCATGTTTAGGTACCTAATGTAATCGTTTTAGCGAATCCAATTACTGATGTAGCGGTTCCTATTTACCCATTTCTTTTTTCCCTTTTACGGTTTTCCTCTTTTGCTTTCAAGCCCCCTTCGCCTTTTGTTCTTTATCTAAACTCTTAAAGTCTTTAATACTTTTCAGTTTCTATTTTTCTCTTAATACTTTTCAGTCCTCTTTTAATAAAGATGAGACAAGGTGTAAATAAAGGTTTGACTGCACGGATGGCGTAGTGGCTTAAGCGGTCGCCACGCCGCTTCCTTCTACGCCGAGTGTTGTGGGTTCAAACCCCACATGGGACGACACTTTGTGTGATCCACAAATTGTTGTTCTGAGTCTGGGTGTTCTTTGTGTCCGTTTCATGTATGTTTGTAAAGTTCCCCGCGACACAGGATATATTCCTAATGCGGGAGTTGTCTTTTAAAAAAAAATGTAAATGTAAATGTAAATAGTGTAATCGGTTTAGATAGAATTGATGAGATAAGGAATGAGTAACATAGAGGAGATCTAAAAGTGACCCTAGTAAAATGTTTGACCAGATTATCAGCACCTGTGACTTCCAATACTTACAAATCATTATTTAAAATTCCAGCCGTTGAAGTCAAAACCCTGCAGACGATAGTCCACGGCGTGATCATGAACTTGCCTGTACCGTTCCCGATGCCGCAACCCGACGCCTGCAAGGATAACAACCTCGTCTGCCCCCTACCGGTAAGGAGTATAATCGGCAAGCGCGTTTTTGCTCTTATATAAGTATGTATAAATAACATTTAGGTGATAGTTATTTCAATAAAACAAAATATATGTATTAATAAGAGAAACCAACTGTTAAAGACAACTTTAAAAAAGTGGAATTTTTATAATCAGCGAGTGTTAGAAACTCTTACTAACCAATAAAAGAAATACTGAAATATATAGTATTTATAAACGATATACCATGTATAGTGAGGTGAGGAATATAATATTTTACATGCTTCAGTAGGTATATGATTCATGCGCTTAGTAACCAAAGTTTTTGTTGATATCAGTACATTACTTACACCTTAATAAAGTAAAACGTGTGATTGTAAGGCAATACCTACGACACCCTCTTTTGTTTGTCTGAACAAATCTATGCTCGCAGGCTATAATACACGTGTAAATCCAATAACTAGGCAGGATAACGATTAGGTACTCTCATAACAATAACAATAGAACATAATACACAGTTTTCATTTCATGCACAACTCTTTGCGACTCGTCCGGACACAACTATCAGAAATATTTATTAGTAACTCACGATAGTGTTTGCTAAAAGAGGCTTCGAAACGGGGACGGCAGAGAACTAGTACTCTCCTATCCCGTAGAAGATACACCAGGCGACGGAGAGCTTAAAATGATGTCAGATGTTCATGAGCACGGGTTATCATGGGGATAATGGGTAAAGCCGCTCAGCAGCCTTGATGGCGTGATGGTGTAGCAGCCAGGATTCCCAGGGACTTTCTTCCTAGGATATACCGAAGTCATCAATAAGCCAATTTATATCACAACACCGTTTGGTTTCAGTCGATTTGATTTCGAATTATCACTTCTCCATCCTTGTTTAAACACCACACATGCCACGTAAAATTTAGACCTGAAATCACATGGTCTGGGTCCTCCCCAAAGTAGGGCGCCTAAAGCTGCCTCAGGGCGGTTTTTAAGTGAAACCATCACATCATACTCCTGGCACCTACATCACTGCGTGCCTCGGGAGCCAGAGATCTGAAGGGATTTTCCACCCCGTCACCAAACAAAAATGCCTCCTTAGGGGTACGCTAACAATACCATGTGCTATACAATGAAAAATGTAAATAAGCACTACTCATATGTGTTAAAGCATATTGCAATCCTTACATATTATATTATAAAATGAAGTTGACTGCACGGATGGCGTAGCGGTTTAAGCGGTCGCCACGCCGCTTCCTAGAGTGTATACGCCGAGTGTTGTGGGTTCAAACCCCACACGGGACGACACTTTGTGTGATTCACAAATAGTTGTTCTGAGTCTGGGTGTACTTTGTGTCAGTTTCATGTATGTTTGTAAAGTCCCCCGCGACTCAGGATTTATTCCTAGTGCGGGATAAAGAAGTCCCCCGGCGAGTCCGTCTGTCTGTATAAACGCGATAAACTCAAAACGACAGAACGGATTTTTATACGCTACCGAAGCTACCGTCGGAAGCTGGTAATTTATAAATAAGTAGGTAGGTTGTGCGTGAAAATTGATTGTTTTAGCAAATAGTTACTCTAATTTAAAACTACTTTTTTATTTTAATAATATATATAATTATAACTTATCATAACGGTTGTAACAATGAGAGTTAAGTTAAGGCCTGATTAATGAACGATGACCTTCATTACTTGACTCATATATTGATAAATATGGTAATAATAAATAATATGTAACAATATATCGTTTGTCAATAGCAGTTTGAACTATACTTTCGAACATCGACTAATTAACATGATCTACATTTTACATATTAAGTCTGTCTGGTAAAGATCAACAAAAATATTTTAGTTAATTATTAATTAGCCACCTAAAACCTAAAAACCTGCTGAACCTGGCAACATTTATAAGTATAGGTACGTTATAATTTTATAATAGATTATCAGTTTTCACTCTGTCAGCGAATCACTCAGATTATAAAATTTACAAAGTTCACCACCCTAAAAATCGCAAATCATTATTTATTCGACACCTTTCATCGTTAAGGAGTGTAATTTGCAACTCGACACTTTTATTTTTCAGGCTGGCAAGGAAGCTAACTACAAAACAACAATGGCTGTACTCAAGTCATACCCTAAGGTCAAGGTCGATGTCAAATGGGAGCTGAAGAGTGATGACGGGGAGGAATTTGCTTGTATCATGATTCCTGCCCGTATTAATTAAATAGTATTAATTTAAACACGCCTAATTTTAAAAATAATAAATCTCTTCATACTGATAGTTTAAATAGAGATGGGATTTACTTTTTTTGTTCATAATTTAAACGATGATTGATAAGATATTTTGTAAAATACAAATTGTGGTGACTTAATCGCCAGATTATCAATCAAACTAATACCAAATAAGTACTTTATAATTAATTACTATTAATTATTTTATATATTTTAGTATTTAATATTCAATGTAATTAAATGGTTTGTTTTTCACTTATCATTTTACCACCATTGTCCATACCATAACCCACAATTGCCCGTAATGGTCATTTGTTAAAAAAAAAATTGCAATAAATTTGTTTTCTTTCACTTGCATAATATTTTTTCTTGTGAGCTATTAAGGCTGTGGTCAAATCACATTTATTGTAATTATTATGGTCTTTAATAAATATTTATTCATTCTTAAATACTACATGCGAGTCACGAAACCTAATTTTAGATTATCCCAAAGATTTAAAAACAGGTTATTTACTACAGTAATTTATTTACTTATTCTAGAGAGGCTACCGACATATTGTTAAAATAAAGTCATTAAAATAACGGTCTTCGTACCTATACTCGTATTACACGTCACTTCGAATTTAATAAACACTTTATTTTGTACCTCTACTTTTTGTTTCTTCTTAGGTTTTTGTAAATTATTTCCTTCATACATATTGTTTGCCTTAAACTTAAGGATTGTGGTTTTGTACATTATATTTTTTTTGTGAATAAGTTGTTTTATTATCAAAGACCAATTTTGTTAACTTTGCAACGAACATACACACAACTTAGCGCCATCTAGTACACAACACTGGAGAACTCCAGATACGATACGGAGAAAGGACTCGTATGGGGGGAAAGTTGAAAAAGTGTCCAGTTATAAACAGTAAATTATGGTTCTTAAACCGATCAGAATAGCGCTTGTGTAGCCAACGGAAATGACATGAGCATAGCAGTTCAGTGTCGCCAACCTAGTGGATTTTCCACTAAAACTGGTGGTTTCGACCCCCGTTTACTGACGAAATTTTGCTAGTAATTTTTTTTAGTGCTTTTATAGTAATAGTAAGATTGTAGAGGGACTTAGAAGAAGAGAGGACTTAGAAAGATGAACTGTGTGAACTGTTTGTGTACGCAAACCTCAAGAATGTTTGATAGGAAAGCAGCTGCAATTGTAGTAACTGAATTTTTATGTACACGCACTAGCCTCAATCTAGATAGAATTAAAGATCTGTTTATAATGTGTAGGTCTGTGCATACTTACTGACACAGTTCTTTTAGTTAGACATGTATTTTCACGCTCCTACTTTGCCCTAGGGATGATCCGCCTCTGTAGGAAAGGAAGGATGGGGATTGGATAGAAGTGCTAAGGAAGAGGATTATTAATTTTAGGTAATGGGATGATGTAGGCTTTGTGCCAGAGAGAGGAAAAGGTTTCAGAGTCAGGAAAGTAGTCAATAACGTGGGCTATAACTTCGAGGACGTAATCCAGGATGGTAACTATCATCCTACAGCTTGTAAACCATTGCGTTAAAACAGACAGACCGGATAATCTTTTTAATATCCCCAGAGGTGAAAATTCAAAGGTTGAAAGAAAGAAAGTTGAAGATTCAAAGGAGGACAAAATTGGGTATCTGCAGACTAGCCATGTAATTCAGGTCCGACTCTATGTTTAATGAACCGATTGAGTAGCAGAAGAAAAATGAAGATTAATATTAGGTCTTTACCAGAACAGAAATAAAAAAGTTTGAAAAAATAAGTACTTTCAATTGTTGCATACAAAACGGCAATTTCGTAGGTAAAGACCTATTATAATTTAAACCAATGAAACTCTGTCCTTTGTTGTCTACCAATGCGCAGCGTATTAAGGAACTTCCACATAATAGGGGTCCTTGGGGCCCAAGTGGCTTCGACATATGAAGAATTAGCGATCTTGGGTATTACTCTCTTAATACTGCCTCATTTCAATGCCAATGTTGAGTTGAGAGATGGTTGATAGGTATTAAACAGAGAAATAGAATAAAGTTAAATCCTTTATCTGCTATGTTAAGTATATGTTGGAAAGAGCATGATGCAACAAATATGAAATACAAATAAACATTGTAAAACAGATCGGTACCAAAGCATCGTATTAATTATATTATTTGTGCCAATAAAAAATGTACACAATGTTTATTCATGTATTTATTTTGGAACTAAGTTCCTTATAGCGCGTTACACGCTCTAAGCGGATGGGAGCTAGTCTTGTGCTTAAACGGACATCTGCAGGTTCGCACCGTACTGGTACAATTCGTACAACGTAATAGCACACCGTAATAGTACTATTAGTACAGTTTTAGTAGAAGTAGAAAACTTAAACGTTTGTATTGATATTACTAACATTAATGAAACGGAATACCAAGTAATTGAAAAAAAAGTGTTATAGAATTTTGGCAACCGCGCTTTTTCTTTTTCTTTTTTAATATAGATGGTTTTGTATTTGGCAGTTACTTTTCTTCAGTATAGGAATAATTACAAAGTTCTTGATTATTTTTAATGTGTTATCCCTTTCTGAATCCCATAAACCCTATATATAACAGTTTGACTTTTAAATCCGAATTTTTAGATTACATTAAACTTATAAGATACTATTTGATTTTCCTTCATACTTTACAACTTACGTATTGTAGTATATCCTGTATCGCTGTCCCTTTTAGTCTCACACTGTTTCCCAATACGAAACAATAAAGCGGAGCATTAATAGTACGTCGCACAGCGAACGAACGTAGACACTAGTAGACAGAGTAAGCAATAGATAGTTTTAGTACTGGCTTGAAGTTGACACTGTGTACTAATAGTGCAAAATGTCCGATTAACAGCTGCCCTTCGGAACCATTACTTTTAGTTCAATACCCAGTACTAGTACCTACCTATCAGTACATCGTACGTGTACTACCCAAGTCTAATGGGAGCGACAACGAAAAATGTGTAACAAGACTTCCGACACTTCAGTTAGCGCGTCGACGCTCACATCTTTTTCATATTTCATATATAGCAAACGTCTATCAAAAAGCGAAAAAGTTCCGGCCGGGAATCCATAGACCCGTTTTTATTTAAACTTAATGGACATGTTGTACAAAGGCGGACTTAATGCCCTTAGACATTCTCTCCCAGTCGACCTTGAGGTAATGTAGAGATATTAAATTTGTCATAGTTCATAGTTTGTTTTCATAGTTTTTATCAACTCTAACAACTTTAGTCGCTTTAAATTAAATTTATCCTAATGCTACTGTACGCCCCCAATTTCACGCATTTTGACGGACACCTTTCGTGTGGATCTGGATCGAGGGCCCATTTTATAAATCCTTGCAAAACGAAACAAGGCTTATAGGGAAATTAGTGAAAAATAGTACAAACCTAAAGTAAAGGGCCCTGAATTTCTTAAACGTGAATTTAAACTGTTATGATTAAATATCAACATTTCACAACTAGATCCAATATTCCTTCATTTCTGTACCGATTCAAGAAGGCAACACAAGTTTAAACACGCATTTCTTTCTGCAGATCAGTCAAATCGTGAGGCACCCATACGAAAGCGTTTCAACCAAAAACGCACGGTGCGTTCATTAGCAGTCTCCTCTCCAAACGCAGCGTTGATATTGTGAGCCGTTAGTTCAGCATCGGAACTCGTATTCAAAAATAACTCGAATTTTCGAAATATTCATCTTTCACGTCTAAGCTAAAACAATTGAAGGTCGAGAATCAAATGTTGCACACCTTCATGTTTTGGTCAATTTTATGCTTAAAACACATACTTTTAAGGTTTAAAATTGTTGTGTGTGTTGTTTTTTTTTTGTATTTTTTGGAAAATGACTCCGAGGACTTCTGGAGAGGACTGGTTCGGTAATAATTAGGGTATGTCCAGTCAGAATATCAAATGACCCGTCAGTAGTCTCTTTATAACTATTAAATTATTATACCAAACTTCAATATTATTTTTACAGAATTGGCTTCCGGATGATTTAGATGTAGCGGAAGGAATTGAGGTGATGGAAGAGGAAAGGGAGAGCGGAAGGCTAAGTCGTCACGTCGGCTTTTTGAAGAAAAATAGGTTAGCACAGCGAAACAAATAGTTATTATTTATTTTTATTGTGTATGACAATTACTATTATGATTTATGGGTGATAAAGTAGTAGCAGAAAAGAGGAACGTCTAAGGCGTTGCCATATTTTTTTTGGAGTTGAGATGTACGAATATCTGAATTTACTCCTTACTGCATAAAAGCATAGAATACGGGATTTCTTGAAATAAAGAACATTTCATTCTGACCAACAAAACTATCTCTCTTCTTTTTAACTTAAATTCATGGTACTTGAAGTGTTGTATTTTTCATGCGTGTGCGATGCTGCTTAGTACTGGAATGTGGGTACATTTTGGAATTTCCCTGCATATTTTTATATGGGTGTTTTATTCGTGTTTCTTGAATGTTTGTATTTCTCTGGCGTATGCTGCTGGGATTTTTTTCTTTTTCTTTTTGCTTTTAACTTGCTTGGGGCTGCATATTCGGTTGAGCTTTTAACTAGAACTGTATTTTATAACAGGATGTGAAGAAAGTGTATTTCCTTACTTGCTAAAGCGCTAAAGCTAAAGCGTTTGAAGTCGATTCTAGAGGAAACTCGCGAGCTTTTCGAAGATGATAAGGGTCAGAGGAAGATGACGAGACCGGATCAGAAGGCGTTAATCAGGAAATAACCTGGTCACAAGATTTAAATACCTTTAAAGCTAGAGAGGTTTTTCAGGAGTCTGGTGCCAGAATTGAAGGAGCACGTCCAGTAGACGTGTTCACTAAATTATTGGACTAACCATTAATGGACACTAAAGTGCGTGAGACCATTACGCGTGGAACTGTATTGCCATGGCCAGTGAGAACGCCGATGGCATCAGCGCCCATTCAAGATTGAATGACTGGGTCGAAACGTTGGTGGAGAAAATGTTTCGCTACCAACAATAGGTGAAGAATAACAGCGAATGAACACGTAAAAAACGCAACATTAACATCGTCAAAGGATATAAGAATTCGCAATAGGGGGAGATTGTATCAGAGCTAGGGTAGCTAGTAATCTATACTAATATTATAAAGCTGAAGTGTTTGTTTGTTTGAACGCGCTAATCTCAGGAACTACTGGTCCGATTGGAAAAATTCGTTCAGTGTTAGATAGCCCATTTATCGAGGAAGGCTATATATCATCACGCTAAGACCAATAGGAGCGGAGCACCAATGAAGAATGTTTCAAAAACGAAGAAAATTTATTACCATTGAGAGACGCAGACGAAGTTGCGCGGGTCAGCTAGTTAAATATAATTACTAAGTGGAAATTCTGTACTGATGCTACTACAAAGGAAAAGGCCAATCAAGAGTCTAAACAATTGGGTCGGTCGCAATACTTTTTTTCAAATTTGATTTAGACACTTGAGTGAAGGTAAAATCTCCATGCTTTGTAGGTTTTGCATCTTTTTTATCGTTCATTTTTGTCTTAAATATACAAAACTGTAAAGTTCTTTAGTGAAATAATTAAAGTTTTTTTAGCATCTGACTTCCATTCGTTACACCCTCGTATTGGTGATAACTTTCACAGAGCTTGTTCTTCTACAATTTGTTTTAACTCATGTGTCCCTCCAAAAATTGTGTTCAACAATTTGTTTGAATCTTTGTATATATCCATACTTCTCCAAGGAAGTTTACTTCTTCTTAATTGAACCTTTACATCGACCACACAACTGTGAATCGGTTTTCAATTTCCGAAAACTCAAATTGAATTCTGTCTTTAAAATCTTTCTGTACATAGATTCTTTAACTGGTACCATGTTTTCTCTGTGACAGTCACTAAAATACATGTTGTACATTTGTTTAATATTTAAATTCGGATCTAAAAATTGTTTTTTCTTAGAATTTTGTAGGATAGGTTTTGAGTCAACCGTTGTAAATGAACAAATATGTTTTCTAACCCTATCCTTTACTTCTAACGGTAATGAATGACTACTGGCCTTATTATGACCCCTTCCATCAGGTTTTGGTATATTCATGTCAGTTTTTCTCATGTGAACATTATAGACAGGCTTCTGAGATATGGCCAAAGTTCCCAAATAGAATTTCTTACAGACAGTATGTCTGTCAGACTTCAATAAGAAGTAATACTTAAAAGAGAACTTCCGTTTGTGAGTATCAGATGTATTCCGTTTGATGTACACTCGTTCTGTAGTGTTTAGTAAAAAAAATCTCTTTTCATTTACACTTAAAGTGTAGAATGCTTTAAATATATTTTCTCTGTCTTCGTCTGTAACTTTTTCACTGCATTTGTACTTGCAACTCTTAAGGCAATCTTTTGTGTTCTTAATTTGTCTTTCTGGTACAAATTTGCCTCGTCGACTGATGTAGGCCTCGCCACGTTGATGTTTTACTTTGCGAACATTGCATGCCCAAGATGTAGGATTTGATGTTTGACTCCGAGACCTCCTTTTCTTTGTAACAGGAGATGTTTCATCTACTTCACATCTGAAATTTTATATGGGGAATGGTAAGTAAGGCATTAGGGTTTAGGTACCGGGACGTCTCGTGTTTCGAATTACACTTTTTGTAAATTTAGTTTTAGTTTACTTTGTTTGTACTTTCGGGGCGAGACTCGAGGTGAGACACAGTTGCCGAAATTGTATTACTTATAATAATTTTTATTTTTAATCAAATAATTGAAAGAGCCTACTGCCTCTGGGATTAAATTAACTAAATAGCCAAAACAAATTAATAGTTTAAAAAAATGTGAGAAAGAGCAGTGTGACAGAAAAATATGTGGTTTTCATTAGTTGCATTAAGACATCACCCATAACAATAATAAATGAAAAAAATAATCAATTGTGTATGAAACTTGATTGTTCTATTTCATTCCCAGTATTACAGTACTATCCTACTGTAGGATAGAATTACTACACTATTAGCAGTACCCGCTATTTATATTACATACTAGCTGGTGACCTGCATGAAAAGCGCTGCTTTAGTGGGTTCGATTCCTGAACCAGTAGTAAAATATTATCAAAATCGGTTCAGCTGTTTTTAAGATTACCAGGAACAAACAGACAATAAGACAGACAGACAAAAAAATATTTAAACTTGTTTTTCGGCATAGGTATTGTGTCAACAACCGTGTGAGCATGAAAAAAACCTATTATTTTGACATTAGAAACAGACACTTCAATTATATATACTTGTTTAGATGTACATAAATTATAAACAAGTACATTAGCAATTAGGTATATCATACTTACTCAGCATCCTTTTCCACCAACTGCATCTCAGGCTCAAGTTTGGCAAGTAAACTCTGATCCTTATGATTACCAGTATAATGTTCTTTCGGATACTCATACTGATTATAGTATGGTGGTACTCCGTTCATCAACATGTGCTGGGGTAATAACACATGGGATGCAATCTGTAGAGACTGTGTCATGTCCGAACTCTGCAGAATGTGAGATTGACTCTGCAACGGTTGCAAACTCTGCAGTCCTTGCTGACAGGACATTACAATTTGATTTTGAGATATTTGTATCTGAGTTTGTATTTCAGCAACATGGTGAGATGATACTGGTATTGACAGTGACTCTGAAGACATAGCCTGCTGGTATGTCAGCTTGCCTCCTGACGTTGGAAGTGTGGGGTGTGAAATGTGAATTGTACTTGATACAGAAGGTTGGTACACCTGCACCAAGTGTGATATAGGAGGTTGCTGCATCTGTTCCATTTTTGTAGATCTGGAAATGTAAAAAATAATTATGGTTAATTTTGCGATATGATTCGATTTTCTTAATTGAGGTGTCACCTATGAACAATTATTTTTTTCAATTGATAATAATCGTTCTAGTGCTTAAAGGATGAAAGCATTTCAGATCTACAATATCGTCCTTTTCTCATAGAATAGAATGATTAACAAAATCAATTTTAACGCGAACCAAGTCGCAGGGAATACTAGTGTCTCATAAGAACGTTCTCACGGTTCTCATACAAAAGAACTTTAATACATTTTACGCGACGCAAAATATTTGAAAAGTAAATGTAACTAACTTTAAAAACTTAATATCTGAACGGATGAAATTTTAACCTTACCTTACAGAGTGCAGTAGTTTATATCCAGTTATAATAATAAACTATAAACGTTCTAAATTGAAAAAAAAATGTAAACAACATAAACTTATGTTATTGTAATCAAACCAAATACAACTTTGGCACACCAACATCAAACCCAGCGCAAGGCGTCATTTAATGATCTAGAACAAACTATTTATACCAGAAAGTCTAATAGACTGTTGTCCTTTTCACACGTATTTATGAACAGCAAGAAAATGAAAATCTAAAACATTCTTAAATGCTACATATTCACATTGTGCTTTAATTGTCAGTACGGAACGCGAGCTAGTGTTGGAACCATAGTTATCGGTTATCAAACTTATCATAACGCAATTATCGTATATTCGGTAAAAATAGGTTTTCATTTACGTAGTAGTCATCGGTAGATTTGGAAAAGGTTTATAATAAAGTCAAAAGTAGTAATGGAAGATATAGGAGATAAATGGGAAGAAGGTCTTCATTTTTCCATTCAAAGTAACACGGTAAAGTCGTTAACTAAGAACATGTCAATGACTTTTGATGTGAAAACATCTAATCCAGCTCTGTCAGACCACCTGTTTGCGTGGCGACGCGTCACCCCGTTGTGATAGCATAAAAATAAATAATAAAATATGCGACAGTAATGCTGTGTTACTGAGCGTCGCTATGCACAACTCAGCTCTGAATATTATATTTTGAATTGTGCTATATTAGTTCCTTTCATTTATAAAAGGATTGTTTATAATCCTTTTATACCTACTTATTTCTACAAAATAATTTTGATGTTATCCATCCACTAGACGTCCCGCGACGGCAGTTTTTTTATATATTACTTTGTGGAGTCCTCTCTGGACTTTGAGATTGATTCCCTCCTTCAAGTCCTCGAACAGATACAGATGCTTACCAAAGAAGCTGTGGCTAGACAATACCTGCATCAGTAATTAATAATAATAAAATTATTATTTTAATTACTTTTGGCTTACATTACAATGTTTTTTAAACGTCTAAAAAGGGAGAGCAAAGTGACTTTAACGTTGAGCATGCCAATTGCTAATAGGTACATTCTTTGTTATATATCTCATAGGATCGAAGCTCATCGGGCAATAATTTGTAGGTATATCTTTGTGACTACTAAAAATTTTGCAAAATTACTCTGTATGTGTGACATATGAGTGACATATTCCTAACGAGTGTAAATAAAACGAGGAAATTAAATCACATAAAAACATTTATTTCTTTAAGTTTCATAACAGTAATCATTTCACCTTATTGAGCTAGATAACAAAATATACAATATAAACATCATGATGAACGTAACTTTTTTAATTTTTTAGTTAAATAAATGCCTGTTCCCAATATTTTATGGTTTAACGTAATTCATCTGAAGGTTTTTGTGCCATCTTACTTACAAGTGACTACCTCTGGTAAAAGATCTTTGAGACTGATCACTGAAGAACATTTATAAATTTATATAAAAATAGGTTTATTCGTGAGCTATGCAACATTAAGAGTAAAGGTGATGTATTCTTTATTTAGTCAATGATAAGACTTTATATCTATTAACAAAGGATAAAAGTAAGGAGGACAGTTTTAGTAATTATTTATGCACACAAAATTATCATTCAGAAGACTTTATTTAAATTATTTGAGTTTATTGGGCTACCTAAATTACTAATATAATGAATCTAAAGAATTTCCTTCTATGATTCTCTGTTTATTTAAACGTGCAAATCTCTATAAGTACCGGTCAGATTCGAAAAAATCTTCCTGTTTTTTTTTTTTTCACTTCTTAGCGGAATAGTGACTATAAACGATGCCAAAATTGCAGGAAAGACTAATAAACGGAAGGCTTACAGATATCATAGGATGCCAGGGTTCATAATATTAATGTTAAAATGCTTTTATTGGTGTTACATAACCTGTTTCTATACTAGTTTTATAAAAATAAATAAATATAGGGTCTTCCTTAATTCTATCCTCCATTATGAAAATGTTTAGATTATAATTACTTTTTTTAATATTCTCAGCTCTTTAAAAAAACTCACATGCACAAAATAATGTACACTATGCTGCACACATGTCTAATAACATTAATACTGTATGAAAGATTCTGAACAATAATTTCAATATTTAAATATGTAAATTACTTTATATAATCATAAGTTATTAGGTACCATTTGTATCACCGAATTGTCAATATTGAATTATTTTTGAAGTGATAACTTCTTATGGGAGGGTAAACTGCTTCGGTACGTAACGCGTTACGGCGCCAGTCTGTCTGGCTTCCCTTTCTCCCACGCATACGGCAGCGGTAGGCAGGCTCCTGCTCTCTCACTCTCAGTTACAGCGCTAGCCGTATTTCGGACAGACGCTTTACGTAAAATTTAAGTAATAACCTAAGCTTTTCTCAAGTTAAACAATTTCAATATTAAATAGTTCAACTTAGATTAGTTTAAGTTATCAATTCTGTCGGGCGTCTTGAGACGCACACGTTTTTTTTGTGTATGTTATGTTTTAGCACCCATATTTACAATTTTTTGATAAATTCTATTGATTGCTTATTTGACTAAAGAATAAATAGGTTATATCTAGATTGAGAACCAATAAAAATTAAATGATGTCGTCATTTATAAAACTCGCTTTTGCTACATACTCGTAATTACGTACAATAAATAAATACTTGAAAATTTGCGAGTCAAATCAGCAATCATTTTAAATTCTAAACTATAGAACTGTTAACTTTTTTAAATATGGCATTTATATAATATTATGGCATTTGAAATAAGTATAATACCGGCGGATACTATAAAACGTTTATATATATTATATATAAAATATATTTTGTACAAAATATATTAAACTTTTTTCCATAATTCGTATAAAGTTCCAAACAGTCGTGGGTTACTTAGTAAGCCCGAGTGACCGGGGGCAACATTGTTGCGATGTGATCTCGCAGCAACAATAAGACTAGCACTAGCACTAGAGTATTTGTAATTAAAACATTAATAATTCTCTTTTACTTTTGAAATATAAACATGTATGAGCACAAATGCAAAATAGGCTTAGTCAGTTTTTATCTTAAAATTCGTACGTATACAGATTCTTTAGTGATTTCCAATATCTTCAACTAGTTGAACTTATTTTCTAAGAACTTGTATACATAATCGTATACAACCAGCATGATTGCGCCTCCTGGTCCCAGTCGCAGTACTTTTGGTAGAAGACCTTTGTATAACGCGCGGAATCTAGAATTAAAGAGAACACATTTACACGTAAATATTACGAAAATAAAACAATTTACACTAAATACAAAGCATCTGGTGATGACTGGACTAAGAGACATTTTAGTAGCAACATCTGGAGCCTTTGTTACCTACAGACCACTTAATTCATCCACTTGGTTGATCGGTTAGAAATTTATTCCTATCAAACCACCTTTTTTTTTTCCACCACCACCTATCGGTGGCATGTCGGACTCGAACCGACTAAAACCGCACGCCGTCTCGGGTACCAATAACCGGGGAACCAGGTATACCCTAGAAAGGAAGTCCCTGTTGCCCCGACATACCTCGGGCCATCTACAGACGAGTAGACGACCCCCCCGTGCCTATCAAACCCCCTGGGGGTCAGTTAGAAATATATGGGTGGTCAGTTCAGTTGAGAGAGAGTTCGGAGACAGTTTGATTCTTTGTTTACGTCGAAGGCATAACTTTACCTAACCATACATCTGGGCAATAGATAAGAACAAGGATATCGGACAACTGGATGGGTGGATACTGGTGGTTAGGGATACTTAATAAACAATGTATTCAGCCGGTCGTCTAGGTGATTGGTTGAGACCAAATACCCCTAACTGGCCAATAGGTGGATGATTCAGTGGTTCGGTGGTATCCAAGTATCTGGAAGGGGTAGCGAGAGCTTTAAGAAAAGGGCGGCAATGCCAAGTGCATTCAATATCTCTTGTCATGTCCAGTGACGGTGGAGATAGTCACTTTCCATCACTCGGTCTCGACGGTGACCGCGTTCGGTGTTGTGATTGGTCCGTACTGAAATCGAGAACGAGTTGCGAGTTGATGTGAAATAAACTCAGGCCCTCAGGTGACCCGTCTACTCGTTCGTTAGTGCCCTATACAACAAAAAAAAATGCTGTTGCTAACTTAGCTGTCGCGTTTACAAGTACCTATAATTTTAATGAAGAGAGACCATTATGATCTTATCTACTGAAACAGTACAATACACCTTCAGATCTAGAGATCTGAATGTGTATAAAACATGTGTGCAACTGGCGACGAGTGTATTCCTACAGAAAGGTCTGAAAATTTATATAATAGGAACTCTTTATTATAAATAATAATTTACATATTTCAGGATTTTAAGTAAATCACCCCCCACCATTTAAATTAAGGGATGGAAGTAAACGCGGGCAAAACGTCTAATGTATACCTGCTGTGATTGAGGATGAAGGAAATACAGCGCGTCGTGGGCTTTTAGTCCAATATACCCGGGGATAGTTTCACAACTAACGACCACAGAACATTTAAAATCGCTAATACTTGAACATATATTCGTAATAAAAGAGTCTCTTGTAGAAGTTTATAAATATTGATTTTATTCATATTAGTATGAAAAGCACGTATACAATATCACGTATGAAAAGAAATCAAGTTAGACAAGTTATATATGTAAATAACCAAGAATGTTAATATTATATTCAAATATATAAAGTGGGTTTGTAATATACAGTAGATTTTTCCTGTAGTAGTATACTTGAGTAGGCTCCCGTTGCTAATTTTAAACAAAATAACCCGGAAATCACGTTTTAAACTTAGTGGCTCTATTGGAAAATAAAAAGAGTTAATTTGATACAAAGTCGCGTATCGACCACTTTGGATCAATATCCCTGATATAAACGGAACACTGTTTTTAAAATACGTATCTGACAATACCCTACAATATAGAAAAACTTGAAAAGTTACATTTATTAGCTTTTCTTTTTTCGTTCATAATACTGTTATTTTAAGATTCCCATCCGGGATAATTACTGTGGGATGAACACGAACATTTGTTCTGTGTCTGTGTGTAATTCTTCTGTAATATGTATGTATTTAGAAATAGATTTTCAACATCATCATCCATTTCATTTTTAAACTGTAAACCTTCATACTTTCAACTTCATACTATTCTAAGCATCCGGTGTTAACCTTTAAGTAATAAGTTTGTAAATAAGTGTAAGTAAAAGTATGTAAGGTACTACACCATAAACAATTTTTGGTTAACCATCAATAAATTAATCATTAACAGCCTTTAATAGTCCACTGCTGCGCATAGTTTTTCTTCTCTTTGTAGTGCTGCTGTCTTTGCGTAGTTTGCTCAATTAGCCGTCTCGTACGACACCCACGGGTTGAATAGAGGTAGTGACACTCTGTGTTTTTAATCCGTCACCACACGGACTTAGAACTTAGGATTTTAATAATTTATGTGTGTTTATTTACAAATATATGTTGCCCGGTGGACGGCTGTGTCATCATTTTCGATCACAGCCTTTAGTAGTTCACTGCTGGACATAGGCCTCTACTTATAATAGAAAGGAGGTTTTGTCCTACTATATACCACGCTCGCCAGACGGGTTGGTACAGGGTTTGTTTCAAGATTTCCTTCTCTTTTCAGAGCGTTGTCCTGCGTAGTTTGCTCCCACAGTCGGCTCTTACGACACGCGCGGGATAAAAACTCTGTATTCGAAAATCCGTTAACACACGGACTTAGCACTTAGGACTTTAGAAATATATAAGTGTGTTTATTTAGAAATATATGTGCCCAATACGCTTGCCACTTATTACGTAAGTGGGACTAAAATAATAATGGACAAAATGTGAACATTTTATGAACCTCTGTATACCATATCGAGTGGAGTTACCAAAAGATATGAGTGTATATCTGTAATGTGATACATAATTAAAATCAATTATTGCATTGACATACGAGCAGCGGGTATAATGAATGAGAGAGTGAGTAGTATAATATATATACTACTATTTTAAAGCTGAACAATTTGTTTGTTTGATTGAACGCGCTAATCTCAAGAACTACTGGTTCGAATTGATTTATCGAGGAAGGCTATAGGCTTTATATAACATCACGCTACGAGCAATAGGAGTTGCTTATCAATAAAAACTTTATTCCAAATTCCAAATTTGTTGCAAAAACGGGGAAAAATTGATTCTATTTAAAAGACGCAGACAAAGTCAGCTACATACGAATATCATAGTTTTTCCCCACGGATTTCTGATCTCTGACTAAGAATCTTCAGCTACTGCAACTTTCATCCTTATCTTCTCAGGCATAAGGACGTGATTAAGTAAAAATCACTTTTACAATCTTCCACATACATTTTTATGGCTTATGAAATTGATTATCCGAAGATAAACAATGGACTATATTATTGTTCAGTGAAGTCAATTCAATTAACGATCGGTTAGTGCCGCCTTATATGCCTTAATAGGGTAGATGACTGTCAAGTGCAATCAGTATCGTTTTTACAAGCTTTTATTTTAACTTGCAATGTATGTATATAACTATGTTTGTTCGGGTAAAATCTTGCAAATTAATTTTGAAGCAGATATCGTCAACCGATTGAGCTGAAATTTTGTGTACACCTTTAGTTTGGATGACAATGCATGGTTAGCTGTATAACGTCATTCTACACACAACACTCCTGCAATATAGGTATTAAATGAAAGGGCTTGCTGAGAATTACTCGAAAAATAAAGTGAAGTCACTATAAATTCAATATGACAGTTTTAAAGATGGCGTACCAAGTTTTTTATTCTTTTCTATAATATGGGTATGAAAGTCCTTGCTGAGAATACAAATACGAGTTAAACATATTGAGGTCGAGTTGTTCGAGTCTGTAGCATCGGTTGGTTAACTTTGACTTGTGTAATTTGGCGAGATAAGCGTCAACAGCCTAGGAGAAGGATAACTCCAAAATGCACAAGAGCTGTGTTTCGTAAGGCACAAGTTCAGCTGAAAAAAGTGGAGCATTCCTCCAAACACCCAAGTCAAGGTGAGGCCGTGCCGAGGACTGAGTGGCATCAGGGTATAACATGAACTCCTGAACAGCGAGAGGTTCGTTTGAGCGTTTTACGATAAACAAATAAATTAAATAACTTGATTTCCTTGAAACAATTTTTTTAAATTTTCAAACTAAGTATACAGGGTGTAATGGACATCGTAACGAATAATGAAATAGTGTAGTCGAAAATCATTGGACTTTCTGTCGGCAAATTCATCTTTTTTCCATTTTTTTGGTAAAAATGATATTACAATGAACAAACAGAACATTTCACCGAAAACAAATTAATAAATACCGCATACGCTCAAAAACTGCAATGTAATTAATAAAACAGCCGAAGCGCGCGGGTCTCCCCTCCGGACGCCAACTTGTGTTAGAGTGCGTATACTGTTTGCACGGAATACTCGTACACATGTAGTTATTACCTTTAGCTTTGACAGCGGATTGAATAAAAGTTTAATTTGCCGACAGAAAATTCCAATGATTTTAGATTTCAGACAAGTGATAGGTTGGTATATGGTTTGTATCAAGTTGTCCGTCTCTTTGTAGTGCTGATATCCTGCAAAGTTTGCTCCCACAGTCGGTTCTTACGACACCCACGGGGTGAATAGGGGTAGTGACACACCGTATTCTAAATCCGTCATCACACGGACAAATAATTTTAATACGCAACATAAAGCAGATTAAAATGAAACTTAAAAAATCTTCAAAACCCATCATCTTCCATCAGACCCTGATCACCATTTATGACAATTTATGTATAGTCTATTTGATTTACATCACTAATTAACCCAAATACGATACATCTTTTCTAAGTAAGAAGTTGGTTAGATTTTGATGCGATAATATAAGGTTACAGCCAGCCCCTTTATCGTGAAGGAAACCCTTAATGCCCTTCGAATAGTTGGTCAAATCATCTTTCAAACAGAAAAATAAAATCGGTTCATTTGTTTAAGAGATTAATATGATACGACTAATAAAATGCTCTTTTTAAATTATAGGGGGCAAAATGCAGAGAGGTCACTATGGAGACCTTTGAGTGCCCCTCAGAGTAGAGAGAGGGGGAGGCAGGGATGACTCTCCTGTTACCGGTTCACCGATTGATTGATACTCAGTGCAACATTAGCATGCAAGCATGGCTCTCCCAATCACATTATGTAGCACACGGCATTGACGAAAACAGATATGAATATTTCGGTTTTAACAATTATAACCCTGTGCCACTAACTTTTTTTTTAATGATTGTGCCATACCGTCGTTCGGGTGACGATGACTTTGTAAACGACAAACAGCGAAACACCTTGCTGTCTTGTAGAATGAAAAAGAAAATGATATGGAAATTGTCACTATAAAGAAAGATACAATGTTATTCTTTGTTCTCAGTTTTATCATAAGTTTAGGTAGTTGGCTTTCTGCCCGGGTTTCTGTGTGAGACAGTTTCCACAAAGTGTAAGTGTATATTTAGATGACACTTGAATGTATTTACAGAATACTGGTTTAAATTTACGGGTAACGTGAATCTGCCTTGTGCTGCGAGCCACGAACAATGTCACCTTCCTTTTAGTATGACGACCTGTACGAATATTTACATACAGTGTAATCACATACAGTGTACCTACCTACATAAAGTGCAATGACACCTAAAGTTTACAAAAATCTGAGCTAATCACAAAAGTATCTATGTAATGGCATAACACTGCTTGCATAAACATGGTCCATTATTGGTTCAATCGTTTTGGATCTGGAAATTTTGAGTTGAAGAACAGGCCTCACGGTTGGCCGGTAACTATAGACGACAACTGAAGGCGATAGTGGCAGCGGATCCAACTCAGTTAAACTGAACTGAATGGCACAACAGTGACGGCAGATATCTATTGCCAATAATTGCAAACAATGATGGAGAAGCTCGCAATTCAACAACCACGACTGGTCCAATCGGTCTTCCTCAGACTGGACTGACTGAAAGACTGGAAACTGTCCGTCACCCACCGTACTCACTGGACCTTGCTCCAACAGATTACTATTATACCGTAAAAGGGATAAACAAACAGCCAACAAAATGGCAAAATAGTATAGATATATACTTCATAATATTTGGTAAAGGCGATGACCTTCGCTTAGGCGTTAGCTGTTTCCTAGATATTTAACAACCACTAAAAATATAAAGATTTATAAATTCCTTTCAACAAGCCTAAAATATTACGGCGCTACAGGGGGTTCATCAAAGAAAGGATTGCTTAACACCAGTTTTCATCTATCTGGTTAACCGGTCATATGCAGGGGCGACTTTTGGGGGTGACGAGCAGAGCAATCGCCAGGGGCCACATAGAAAATATGAATTTCGTGCCTTACTCTTCGCATTATAAAACTCAATTTACGAAACTTGCGCTTTCTTGCGTGATAGTTATTGTGGTGTCTACATTCCCGTGTTTCATTTCGCCTGTCATTTTGCTGACGACGGCTGACACTGACAGCATATGCCAGTGTCTGGCGTCGTCGGCTTCTACTTTTACGTCCGAGCAGCAGTGTGTGTTGCGTTGCAGTTTTTGTTTCAAGTATGAAAAGAGAAGAGAGACAAAAAGAAGAGCCTCGCAATGATCAACTCGCCCGGGGCCTCGCAATGACTAAGGTCGCCACTGTACTGATATGGGCTCCCACAATAAGAAAGGTATATGTGTGTAAAAAGGCTATCACAAACATCCAATCTAAAGTCAGCTATTGTTCCATGCAAAATTTATCTTTTTTAGTTGCTAAATCTGAAATTTAAAATTCTAAAAATCAAAAAGTAACTCACCCTTCTTCTCTATAGACCAGAGCTATCGCTCCCGTTGTAGACCTGTACTTCACAATGCCAGGAGTCGGTTGCGGCCCCTGGATCCGACTCTTGGCAACATCAAATGGTATATTGACACAGGATCCCAATACTCCTGATGTGAAACCTATCGCCACTTTACGAGCGAATTCTAAGAAGGGATCCTAAAACAAAGAATGGATATTTAATATTGTGTGTTTTATAATCTACCGAAGCCCACAAGTGAGTGGGCAAGTTCTTGTGTATAGCGTTCGATATTAACGGGAATTGACGCGATTTGGCTGTAGTGTGATTCAACCTGTAGCAGCAGCCTGACATATTGTGACCTAATCGAAACGTCAAGCATTTCAAGCTAGTATTAAAAATAATAAAATAGAGTTTTATACAGCGTTAACAACAGCCTAAATCAGAGATTTACCAGAAGACGGCCGTCCTCTGAACCAATATGGTGGCTTATTGCTTCCTCCCATTTTTCGTCAGGTCAGTATACAAATAAAACGTAGTCATCATTTGCCATGAGAAATACACTTACAAGTATGAGAATAAGTAATGAGTTTAATAAAGATGTACCTACATGGATAAAATTGGAAGGTCAGATAACATTTGAGACGAAATTTGCAACTCGAAGTTCACAACAATGGTTTTTCATCACGTGAAGGACGGTTATCGGCGTAAAAAGTAGCCTATGTTACTCGCTGATAATGTAGTTTTCCATTGGTGGTTTTTTAAAACCGATTTAGTGGTTTAGGCGTAGAAGCGTAACAAAGAAACAAATTACTTTCACATTTATAATATAAGTATGGATTAGTACTGACGGGTCTGTTGGTCTTGTGGTTAGCGATTCAGACTGCTAATCCACAAGTCATAGGTTCGGTTCCCACCCATAACAAATATTGCGTGATGAACATTATTTGTTCTGTGTCTAGTTGTAATATATATCTATAATATGGACATATTCAGAATTGTATAAGTATAATTAATCAGAAATATATGTGTCCGGTTAATGATTACTCCCCTTTTTATTCTGTGCGGAAATCCCCTCGGATACCATTTACCGGTGATTATGTCGGACACGAACCGACTAAAACGGTCTCAGGTATCAGTAGCCGGGGAACCAGAGGTACTCTAGGAAGGAAATTCCTCTGACCTCGAATGACCCCAGGCTATCTACGGCCTGTAGATGACCTCCTCGTCTGTGGGAACCACGGTGTTCCCATTTTACAACGTATAGGGCTCGCGCTCCAAAGCGCGTCGCGCCGCGAACCCGGCCTGCTTCTGCTAGGTGTCGGTGACAGATGGCCTCACCTGTTACCCCCAGGCCTGCGCTTATGGAGGACGGAGGACGTTCTGCGATCTGTGGCTCCTGAGTCGTCTACGGTACCTGGCCGGTTCCCAGGCCTGGCGCACCGAGAGAGTTCTAAATCTCTCCCGGTCCCGCTCTGTGGTCTTATTCGCAAGCATAACTTGCTCACAAAAGAAGATGGCGGGCTTCCACGTGCTGTCGCTCCGTACCATGGCCGCAATCGTGGCACTAAGAGAGAGAATTTCCACTCCAATTGCCGCCACGAGGTCACGCCTCTGCTCAAACCACGCCAGGCATTCCGCCCGCGTGTGGAGCGCCGTGTCTACGGTCCGGCCATCGCAGTAGTGACACTCAGGTGTTGGCTCCTTGCGAATCAGACACAGGTGATCCGACTATTCCCGAACCATCCTGTCCCGGTGATCACTTGCGTCAGGCGGTATGAGGGTCTCGTGATGCCTCTCGAGTGATGCTTGCCCCTATTACGTAAATGGAACTAACATAATAGTCGGCAAAATGTGACAGTTTTAATATACTAGAATCTTTGTCTACGTTTCGAAAATAAAGGCGTGAGTATATGTACGTATGTAGAATACTATAAGTCAATTTTATCGAAATATTTCGTTATCATCATTACTTCGATCTTTAACAAACATAATATCCAAAGAAACTTGTCTGTTTGTAATAAGGTCAAACATTATCTTCTAAAAATAAATATAAGTGCTTATCACATGTTTGTGTGTTTATTGTTAGGTAATCTTACCAACTTTTGTGTAATTCAAATGCTTAAAAACGTTGCAGTAACTGGAATTGTTCTTAAAACTGATAACAGCTAATTCCACGGTTAGCAAACTTTGTAGTGACTGAATATTTATTAACGACAATATAGAAATTACATTCTAGACTTCTAGAACATAATAATTTATATAGTACAGCGGTGTCTCGACTCGGCATACCTTGTACCATTGCATCAATTTTTTTTTTGGTCTTCTAGGCAAATAATTATTTAATTGTGGGAAAGCTTTGCTTCTGCACAAATGGAACGGCTCGACGGAGTGATACTATTACTACCTACGGCCTCATAGAAAACCAGTTTGAAGCAATTCTTAAGTTGCTTTTTACCAAGTGAGTGAGGTTAATGAAACAAAAACCCCCATCTTCCCCTGTTTCTTGAGAGAAGGGGGGGAGTCACTTAGCAGGTGACCCGTCTACTCGTTTGCCTCCCCTGCCCTGCCCCCTCAAACATAAAAAAAAATAAAAAACATGATAGTGACAAAAAGTACAGCTTCACAGTCACAACCAACGGTCCCAATGTTATTGGCGGAATGCGTAATATTGCATAGGGTTCCCTCTTTAGGAAGGTAAATGGCCAAAAGGTAAAAAAACGAAAAGGACGAGCTACGGTAAGAGTCCCGCAAGTTCCGAATGGGGAAATGGAACTGAGACTTAGGTTATTATTTTTGAGACTGAGCTTGGCGCACTTGCCTATAATATTCGTTTTATAATTTAAGACACGATTAGGATTAACACGTAAACTATACTATACTCATATGACAATAACACTGTATTTCAAATTTGACTTACCTCATGTTCAGGCACAATCCCTTTAACACTGTGATAAAATCCAAAATACACCATATTAAATACTCCATTTCTTGCTATTGTTGCTGTCAAGCCTTTATTGAGGCCTCTGGAACCTAGGCCATGTTCTCGCACAATCTGTCTGGTCACCGACCATGTGCTTGGGATCTCTGTGGCTAGGGCCTTGTTAGATTGTAAGGTCACTTTAACTACTTCGAAGGGATTAACGAGAATAGCTTCTGTGATACCTGCTCCGAGACCAGCTAGAGAGAAAGTCTGAAAGATATATTGAATTTGTTAGCTAAATTCAGAAACTTATAAAAATAATTTAAACGATTGTTTAAATAGGATAAGCAAGCTCAACCAGAGTGATACCACATCCTCACAGAAAACGGCTATTAATCAATTCTTTTGTGCAGCGCCAGATCTACGATTTTTTCGAACCAGGGCAGTAACTTGATAGTGGTGTCCCTCTCTCGAGCGTTTGAGATAAATTACTTTAAAAAACACACAAATATATAAGTTTACTTGTAGTGTGGGCCCATGTGGGGCCTTTATCTTACAAGTCTACAGTGAGCCAAGCAGGCTTCCGTATGCTAGGCGCTTTGTGGAGCAAGTTTGTTATTTTTAATCATACTATATTATGATTTTGATGCCCCCTGAAACTGCTTTAGTGGCTTTTAACCGAGTGAGTGACATTACCGGAGCCCATACTCCGCTACCCCCTGAATTAAACTTCTGACTTAAAGAGTGGCATCACACTTGTGATTCTTAAGTTGCAGATGTTTATGGCTTATGGCCAACACTAAAGCTGACACCACTAGTGGCCGCTTATAGGCAACAGTAGTCACTTACCGTAAAAAAAGCATGGATTAAATGTGTCAAAGTAAACAACTAACTAAGGTCTAACTGTGAGAATTAATTACTGTAAATAACGTTACAAGGGAATCTAAAGGCAGAGAAAGCTATTACATAATGTGATTGTTTAATGTGACAAATTACTATTGTTACCCAGTAAATTAAATAAGTAAACCTAAAAACCCAAATGTGATAAATTTACAATCTACCATAGATAACAGACTTTATCAAATTCATAATAATGATCAGATAAGTGTATTTACATGTGATGTTTAAATAAAACTTACAGCCTTATAATATGTTAACATTTTTTTGGTAGCACCAAAAAGGTAGTGATAAAAATTTATGTTATGAAATGATAGTAACAGTAAATAGCATGGAATAGAATCAGTTGAAATAAGCTAGCTAAAGACAGCAGCATGGTTAAAAACCTGTTGTGTGAAATCATGGGATAATTATGTTTTTGTTATGTAGTGTGTGCAAGTCTGCAGTTGTATAACTTGCTAGAATCCTCTTGGAGAATCAGAGTATGTAGTTTAGTCTCTGACTTTCTAATTAGGCTTAACTTAAATTAGAAAACATTTAAATTGAACTCAATCTACATAATAATATTTAATTGTTCTCACTAAAGGTGTAGGTGAGCTGGAACCAAACAAAAACAACTTTTTGTATTGCTCAAATGTTGCAAATTTTACAGCTCGCTTAGGAGTTTCAGCCACAATAGGAGGAAGAATGCCCTTCCAAAACGATGTAAAGCCTTCGTACTTGTACATTTTGTTCATACAGTCTACAATTCCTGTGTAGTAGTGAGGATCAGAGCTAACTATCGTCTGCTTAGTAGCTTGTAATTGTAGCCTCGTTTTTACAAGATCCAGAGGATGCATAATGCAAACTTCCACAAATCCTGCACTGCCACCAGCACCTATTTGCATGGCAGCTTGCTTCAATAGCCTCTCGACGTCACTCATTTTATTAACGCACTGTTCACGGGATATTTAAAGTTACACACCAGTTTTGCTACACTGTTCAATCGTAAATAGCACTTCGTCGGCAGTTCTCCGACGACTACTGATACCAAGCTCGAAATACATAAATAATGATAATAAACGACAGCACGAGGAATTTACAGCCCAGAATAAATAAGTGTATTGCCAGAGGATTTCACAGAGCAATGACAGTAGACGGTTTTTTGAAATGTCTATTAAACATCACTAAAACCAAACTCACATGGTAATGGTAACCCTGTCGCTCGCTGTCAGCGTACAGAAAGTGTTGTTTCGATAATTTAATTCCCAAATCTTAGCTAATATTCTTAATGTTGTGTGTCTATTATTTAATTAGATTACTCTAATTCTTATTTACAAATGTTTCTCAGAAAGAGGACTAGCCACTGATGTAGGAAGAGGGGAACATATAACAACAATCAATGTCTATAAAGTTCATTTTCGCGTGTAGTTTATCATTCAAAATGGCAGTGGTATTAACAATTTGCAGATGTGAAAAATGATTTCGTGAGTTATAAACAGTGTTGATGTGGGTGGAAGGTGAATTAAACGCGGAAATGTGGACATAAAGTGTAAAATGGGTTCCCAGACACTAGAGATATTGCGCCAAGGTGTTTGGGCGTCATTAACAGGGGGATGGTTTTATGATCCTCATCAGAATTTGTTTTGCAATACAGTGCACCTGTATATTTGGTTATTCTTGCTATGTTTGCCGTTTTCTGTATACCTGGTAAGTTAAGGTTTACTATTACTTTTCTTCTCCAAAGTAATTGTTTACGAAAAAGGTAGTATTCAAAAGCAGGTCAATTATGCTTAGAATCATTGTTGTGCAGCAGTTGTGGCTTGAGTCATTATGGTCATTGCCCTTACGAAGCCTTAGCAATTGTCTGAGACTAATCTATCCTCAGCATTGCACTATTAAGGAGATTTTTACATCTGCTAACATGTAAAAAACAACATAATGTTTACATGTAACATTTACAGTTGACAAAATAATGTCAATTGTTTTTTTTTAATATGTGTTCTAAATTCAATTGTGTATTTAGTAAATGTAGTTATGTTTTTACTAGGTAATGAATTTAGTGAGATTTTTGTCCCTCAACTACTTTTTAATAAATTTTGCTTAGTTTTTGTAGTATACACTTTGTAAGGACTAATAAGATTAATATAGTATTTGTCATGTGTGTGAGATACAAATACAAAATTATTATTAATAAGAACATTCTTATTAATAATAATTTTATATTGATGATACATGAAAATTGAAAGTAGATCTTATTTGATTTTATTGAAATGAGAATTAAGTTAAGAAAAATGTTTTCAAGTACATATTTTTGCCAACATATTTTTTTAATTGTTCACTAGAAAACTATCTATATATTGGTATTTTAAGGGATTTGTCACATAATCAAGTAATTAATATTTTTAAAACTACTGGAAACTAATTATTTAAGAAATATTGGTGCTAATTCTGTTGTTCGTAAACTCTCTAAACTAAACTAAAAATCACTAAAATTTAGTTTAGTCCTGTCAAACAGCGTTTCGTATTCTGACAACGTAGAACTTAACTATATTTAGTTTGACACAACCAAAATTAGTTAAGTTACTCAACTTAGTCCTTTTTTGCTCATTTGTTATTCTGTTGTACTTTCTAAACGTCAAAAATTGACTAAAATTAAAAACGTCACACTAAAATTAGACGCTAGCTAAATACATCCCGACTAACCTAATAATTAGAGTTTTTAAGTATAAAATTTAAAATTTTAGCGAATTAATTGTTTAAAATGATAAGTGATTACGTGATTATGGTTTTGGTCAGTTCAGCGGAAAGGTATGTGCATAATATTATTCATCATAAATCACAAATAATTATGAGCCTTATCTGAATTATTAAAACAAACATACTTATGTATTATTTTTAGAAACTATCAAGAACGAATACGCTTAGAACGTATGCGAGATAACTCTAATCCGTTTGACTTGGCAGAGGAAAAATTTCAGAAACTATTCAGGCTTCCTAGATCTGCTGCTTTTCAATTAGTCAGCGATCTCGATGATCAACGCCTGGATGAAGGCTTCATACCTAAACACCTAAAGGTCTGCTTTATTACATTGAGCACAATATAAATCCACTGTTTCTATCTTGTACCTACTCTTCATATTGAACTCATTTTTCAGGTTTTATCTGCACTTCAATTTTTTGCTCAAGGGAGTTACCAAGCTGCTGTAGGGCAAGACAATTTCATTGCACTTAGCCAACCTTCTGTTAGCAGGTGCATTAAAATAACAGCAGATTTAATAGTGGAGAAGCTTTTACCTAATTGTATAAAATTTCCCATGACTGAGAGTGAAAAACTGATTGCAATGACAGAGTAAGTTAACAGCCATATATTATTGTTTTGGTGATAATCATCAATTTCTACATCTTAAGTATCATAAGATCTATGAAATACTTATAGTGTTCACCTTTTCAGATTTCAAGAGCTGTTTAATATGCCTAACACCTTAGGTGCAGTAGATGGGACACATATTTCAATAGCAAAGCCATCTATTAATCACCCTACTGCACCTGGAAATCTTTTCTATAATAGAAAAGGATTCTACAGTATTAACTGTCAGATTGTGAGTATCATACTCCATCCATACTCTATTATTATACTAAATATACATACATACTCTTTATAACTTCCAACAGCATTCACAAAATGTTTATTATTTTCTAATGCAAAGATTATATAACAACATTAATTTCATCTATTTAATTTAGTCATTTTAGATTTTTTAAAAACCCATACAAATGTATATGAATCAGGACAAAGAGTTTTAATTTGAGTTAGGTTTTGCATATTTAACATTAATTTACTTATATTATTTTGTGTAGATTTTAAATACTAATTGTCTTTTAGGTGTGTAGTGCAAAAGGGAAAATTATTGGGCTCAATCCAAATTTTCCTGGCTCAACACATGATGCTGCTATCTGGAGAGCATCAACTATAAATCATTTTTTAAAAAGTAATTTTTTGTCTGAAGAGAGAAACCAATGGCTTTTAGGTAATAAGTTTGTACTCATTTATTGATTGTTTTATTTATTTGTTGGCAGTATATAATATATTTACTTATAACAGGTGACAAAGGATACCCCCTGCAACCATGGCTTATGACACCACTAATGGCACCAACAACGGAGGCAGAAAGGGCATACAACAACTGTCACGCAAGAGCAAGAAATGTTGTGGAAATGTGCAATGGAAGGCTCAAAAATAAATTTCGATGTTTACATCGTCATCGTTGCTTGCATTATGAACCAGAAAGAGCTGCAAAAATAATTCTGGCATGCTGCACACTCTACAACCGGTTTATAGATGCATTAAATGGTAAAATGAACTTATAAATTATTCTTTGCACATACATACATTTCCTTTCTACATTTGTATTTCCAAGCCTCTCTCCAATTGAGGTAGGCAGAGATCACAGCTCGCCACTCGCTATGATCCTGGCATACATCTTTCACCCCTTTCAGTTTCATAAATGTTTTCATACATATGCGCTAATTGTGGATACTATTGATCTGGCCCTTTTAAAAACTCCTTCAATTTGATCACATCTGACTCAAAACTTACCAGTTTGCTCTTGCCTCAAATCTATTTTGTCAATATTCTTACCTCTCTCTAACAAACCATATAAGTATCCCTTTCTTTACCTTGATCACTACATCTTTTATATATCCATACCGCAACATTCCCTTATAAAGGTATTCAAGTGTCACTCTAGCTATACTTCACAGACTTCTCATTTCCACAGCATTCAGTTAAATATCATACTTCTGTCTACCCCAATATTTATATACACACATATATATACATGTCTGTACTTAACACATTTTACTGTTCTGTTCTTCATTTCCAGATGATAATCATTATGATGTGGAAATACAAGATGTAAATATTGTGGTTGAGGAAGAAAACCAAGATTTTTTGATAGAGGCAAGACAGATTCGGGAAGAATTAATACAAACTCATTTTAATTATTAGTTTTATTATATTGTTTAATTAAAGCTCTGTTTTTTATTATTTATATAATCAACAATCATCATAAAAATCACTTAAACAAATAATAATTTAAAATAACATGTAAAAAAATCAACAAAATAAAAACAAAGGGACAAATAAAATAAAATGGATTAGACAAAGTTATCAAACGAGCTATTCTTGCAGGAAGTAGTAGCAGTTTACGAAAAATACAACCATAGCAATAACATAAACCAATAATAAAAGTTGATACATTACTATTGGTTAATATTGTTGCTATGACTTGAATTATGTGTTGAAGTAATTGCTGATGCTAAGATCTCAGCAGCACGCAATGTAGAAGCACTGCTGTCTCTCAAAGCAGCAGCAATCACTTCAGCACTATGTCTAATGGTTTCTTGTAAACTGTTACTGCTTTCTTGCAAAGAACGTAACAGGTTGTCGTAGGCAGGAGGACGTGAAGGCCTAGGCGTAATGCGGCGTCTTGGCACAATCCGACGACGAATTGGGCCGGGTACTGCCGAGACACCGGATATAGGCTGCGGTTGCTCCTGTTCCTCCTGGGGCTCCTGCGGAGACTGCACAGAGGGCAGCAATACTGGTGCAGGTGGCGAGACGCGCGCAAAAGAAGGTGTTATTCCCTAGAATTAAAATAATAACAATGAATTTATTCAGTAAGAAGTCTGTATGTGTGTATGTGGCTTAACACCTGTATCATGGCAACAGTGCTCTTCCAGCATAATAACTTACACCCAGACACCAAACAAATGACCGTGCTCATCACATTACATTTTTTCTGGGTGGGAATCGAATCCACAACCTCAAGCTTAACAGTCAGGGCACTAACCACTAGACCAACAGTGTATGTGAGTTCCTCTCTATGTGAATTAGGGAGTGTGAGAGGATGTGTAAAGGTCTTGTAATAAAATAAGTATGTATTGTGTTTCGCTATACAGCATTAGGTGATAGTATGTTTTAAGATTAAACAATATTTTACCACTTCAAGACTGGCAAATCCTTGAATGGAGGCAATCCCAACTACATCTAAAATTTTTTTCTCAATATCTGAGAGCTCAGATATAGCTGGTCCTCCTCCTGTTGCCCTTATGGAGTCATTAATTTTGCGCGCCTTAGTCTTAACTTTGGCCACCCATACACTCCAAACCTAAACAAAAGTAATTAAACAGGCATAAGTAAAGACGATATAAATAAATAATAAGTTGCTATGGTATACATTTCCCAGCACAAAACCAGTAAGTAGCAGAATGATAAAATTAGTAGTTTGTAAGGGTGAGAGATGCTTTCTATGCAAATTCTTTGACCGCTGGTGACTGCTTTAACTACTACAGTATAAATTCTATTGAATGTTACTGAGATTGAAGGTTTTTACATTAGGTATCACTGGCTTCGTAAGTTAAATATACGTCAGACGATCTTCACGACTTTAGTATTACAAGAAAGTACAAAACAAAAGATACCGTTTGAATGAGTAAAAACACGGGTCTTCTATAAGATACTTACATGCTGCCACTGCTGTACAGTTCTATTACAGCCCAAACTGTTAAGCTCGTTTGATAAATTGGTCTAAAATTCCATATTACTTGGATCTGCCTGATTGCCTAAAAAAACAACATTAATGTGATGAAAATACAGCTAAAATTAACATAGTAAAAATGATATTCCTTAGAAACTGAAACACTGAATAATTCTCACCTCTCGCCACTTCTAGGTTGTTATGGAGGCGCTCAACCAGCAGCTCCTGCTGCCTCTTGTTGGCCCTCTTTTTCCTATCGTCCATTACTATTAAATAAAATATATATAATAAAAAAATATATTCTAATTACAATAAAACTATACTGTCATGTCAAATTGACCTGCACAGATTCAGAAATCATAACTTTCGTACATAGGTAACAAAAAAGGTTTACCACGGGTTGCCAGTTAAGTGAACTAAGTAAAACTGTATTTACTTCGTTATAACTGTAAAATACAACATTTTGTTTACTATTTGATCTATAATATGCATTAATAATCATTTACAGGCATTCTAAAATCCTAAAAATATCGTTTCAAAAGATTTATGAATTCACTCTAAATCTTTCTCTATATCATTCATTCCTAATTTTTAAACAAAGGTAACATTTCCATTTTAATTTTTAGTGATGTCAGATTCAAATTTAATGCTGTCAAAATGAACACCAAATTTAGTTCGACCTAACAACAGAATAGCATTTTGAACATCGCTTGACTAAAATAAGAGAATTTTAGAGAATTTTTAGTTTAGTGATGTCAACAACAGAATTAGCACCATTGTCTTACAAACCTTAATACGAGTAATTATAAATACCAAGCTTTTAAGATCCTACATATAAATAAATGATCAAATAATTGTTACAAAAGAGTAAAATCAAAACCAAAAGTACTATATTAGCTTAATGAAGGCAGCTCAAGAGTTTGACATTTCTGACTCTAAGAGACAAAATGTCAATAAGAGACAAAAAGAGGTTTTATTTTCTCTATGCCTTGCTTATTATGAGTACCACTTCAACAAACAATGAGCTTCGATTTAAACATTTAGAAAAGTTTCTCATATACCTATTTACAAAACTAAAAAACTTTGTCTGGAGGAGTTATGTCTATGATAATAATTACTTGACACATTTTACAAATGGTGGATTCTAAACTCTGTCTGATCCCAAACTATGCAGAACCTGTATTGTGGTGCAAGGACAACTGATAAACATACCTACAGATATCTGAATACATATAGATAATTTAATTTAAAGGCCTCTTTTAATTTAAATCCAAATGAAATTATTTTTCATATGTGTTTTTGAGCCCACAACCTCTGACTCTTTAGTCAGGACCACTTACCACTCTTGACCAATAGACCAGCCATCTATTATTTATATACCTATCAAATTACCTTATACCTATAATTACATTATATTTAAATATCTATTATTTAGGCATGCAAATTATTGCTACTTTTAAATCATAAACATGTGATGAAATAATTGGTTTTAGTCACAGCAATTTCAAGTGTGATTGTGATATAGTCCAAGACAATGATAAATGTCATCAAAATTAATACAATTCAATTGTAATAATAATAATAAGTTGCAGTGGTTCAAAATGAACAAATCAACAAATTTATAACAGGTGATTGTGATTTTTTTCCATCCCGATTATCATTTATATACAATACAACAACAAATGGATGTTACGTGTCTTAGGGGTCAATTATTTTGTCTCCAATTGTGATTGATTGTTACTCTCCTAGCCTTGAAACAATATAAATTAGAAATGAATCAGTTTAGTCCGCAGTTGCTGCACGTTATCAATCCCACCATTGTAAAATAATTTTTCCTTATACACTTTTTCTTGTTATTTCCTTATAAATTAAATATTGCACTGCTTATCCCAGTTAACAAGCAACTCTCATCATTAGTATGTTATTTTTAGTAAATTAAATTTCCAAAGACAAATGTAAGGTAAAGAAATGTTTGTTTATTTAAAGTCCTGTCCTTTTGCTACCTATCATCCTCATCAACAGTCTTTAATAGTCCACTGCTGGACATAGGCTGCCTTAAAAAGGAGGTTTCGGATAAGATAGGTTTTGTTTCCAGTTTTCCCTTCTCTTTGCAGTGCTATTCTGCTTAGTGTGCTGTCCCAGTCGGCTCTTATGACACCCACGGGTTAAATAACTTGTGGTGGTGATACTATGTATTCTTAATCCGTCACCACACCAACATTATTCACACCTATAGTAATATTAATAATATTCTACAACATATTTATTACTGCAGTATCCAGAACAAAACTAAATTGGGTATGCATTTAGTAATATGTAAGTGTGTTTATTTAGAAATATATGTAGGTACTTGGTTGAGGGCAGTATGCTTGTTCTTTATTCTGTAGTCTACCTCTTTGAGGATAATGGGATAAATAGAGGTGGTGACACTCCATTTTCTTAATCTGTCACCACATGGAACTAAATCAAACTCTAAAACATAGACTTGCATAATTTTATTTTAGTGGTCATAATCAGTACAATAAAATAAAAATTAAATGTTACAGTATCTCCGTCAGAGCATGAAGTTCATATATTGAAAATGTAAAAGCGAAAAAAAGTTACAATAAAATAAAATTTAATTGAGTACATTCTCGTTTTTAGAAGTCCGCTAGAATTTGCCAACTTCTGTTGTAATAAGTGTCTGATCTAATGTAAATATTGAATGTGAGCCATTAATAAAAAAATCGAACCTGTATCTGATGTGATATCACTGCACTTGTGTTCGTTTTGTTGTTTTTAAATGTTCATCTAGTCTGTTTTTAAAAATGTTTTAATTGTTTATTGACCCAGCACTAATTACACATTCCGGTAAACTATTCCAAATGCCAAATTCCAAATACTCAATTTGGTAAATAATGTCTTCTAGGGTTGCTAACAGACGATGACCTCGTAAGCTTTAATGTGTGTCCTCTCTATTGGGTAATTGATTCATAGTAAAGTTTCCGATGCAATTTTTTATTTGACTAATATTTTTTGTCAAAGGTTGGGTATAATTATCACAGTTAATTAAAAGCGATTTAATAAAATAATTTTGGATCTTTATTCATAAGAGCAAATGTGTGTCTCAATATGACTGCATAGATGCGATAGTGGTTTAAGCTGTCACCTCGCCGCTTCCTATTGTGCTGAGTATTGTGGGTTTGGTATCCACATGAGACACTACAAATTGTTGTTCTGAGTGTTATTTTTGTCCATTTCATAAATGCCCCGTGACACAGGTATTGATATAGTGTATGTGATATAATCAATAATATGTTATATTTTCCAGTACTTCCCACCAGCAAGTCTTGGCTGGATAATATACTGCGCTCTAGTGGCGTTGCTGTTCACCGGACTGAAGCTTTTGAACCATCAGCTGCACCACATGTACGATACTACAGAGTGCATTATCGTGCAGCCACCGACGAGTCCACACAACGCTAATGAGAACGCTGCGTGAGTTTAAACAATCCAATCTTGAGTCCTACCGACGCCTCTTCCTGTGAGATGACATCAGAAATTCTCACGCCACTTCGAGGCTATTACATTGTCTTCTTAGCTTGTACTAAAAACGTCACTGAACCTTTTTTATAAATTACGGTTTAAAATTAAAACCTCTGAATATCTAACCTTGCAAGAGCTACAATATTGAGATGTAACGTATTACAAGTTTTATTATTAGATCAATTTACCATTTCAAGGGCATCTAAATTTAGACAATGACCTCATTTTCCCATCTTGCATATTGTGATATATACTTACAATTTATGTTGCAGTACTGACGAAGGTATGGAGATGCAAATGCTGAAAGTGGGCGGTGCGCCGGCCACAGGCAGTGACAATGAATCTGTCACCTCATTGGAGTACCATAAACCAAACAATAGCACTATAGGTACGGAAAAGTTTTTATAGTAAACGTTTTAAACATATTAAATAAAATATTAGTATTATATAAATATATGTTTATAAGTGCTGTCGAATTTCTAAGTTTCACAGAAAAACATATTGTTACAGATTTAAAAGTAGACGTCCATCGTAAAAATAGCTCAGAATCCAGTATAGAGGACAGTGCGATGTCTGCTAAGCAAGTAGAGCCTGTCGCAACAACAAAGTCCGACTTATGCGTGGCCCAGTGTACAGAACTGGCTGGACCCTCTTTCCGGCCAGGAAACCGCAGCCGATCCAAATCCGGCCATAGAAGAGAGCATAGGACGTCTAAAAGAAGAACGCATGGTACCCGAATTGATGAGCTGATAGTGGAAGCTTCCAGAAATACACGGACAGAAAATAATCTACCCACATATATGGTGGTCGATGACGGTCCTTTTGCAAAAGTCAGTAGGCGATACCATGAGTGTCCCCATAGGCGTGGTTCGAGTAATAAAGACTTTTTCAAAGAGTGGCTTTATTTAGATGGTTCTGAGGCTGCAGGAGAACCATACCAATCAAAGTTTGCACGACAACTTAGTTCTGATTCGAAAGATAATTCGGAACCAAGTGTAGGCCCGCCTTCTCCTAAAAAGCGAACTACACATAGGAGAAGGTACACTAATTACCCAGATGAAAGCTGTACTAAATCCGCAATGGCTTTAGCTACCCAGGCACAGTCTTCCAATATGAGAAGGAATTCTAATTCAACCATGTCTACAATACAGTTACCACTATTAAATTCCACTGCACAACTTGTTTCACACATGAGACGACATTCAAACAACGCTGATACTGGATTTTTTGCAAGTGTTGAGCTTGGGGAATATATGATGGTAAAAGCTGAAGCGCCTGCTGGCGATGTGGATAAAACTAAAGGAAAAAGTTCAGGGTTTAGAAGAATAAAGAGCGCAGCGTTAGAAATAGGATGTCCTCCTCCTAGTGTATCGAATTTATCCCCTCATCCAAATAGCGCAGAAACCATTGGCGGTCAAATGTTGAAAAATCCAAAAAATGCGGTTATTCCACCTCCTAGTAAGAGTTTAACCCGCGGACCACATTTGAATTTGTATCCGAAAAACGAAAACGGAGAAGGATGTAGCTATCCTTATTTAACCTATGGGTCGGAGATAGTTTATCCTATAGCTGAAATATCGGATGAAATGCAAACATCGCAGAAGGAAACCGATTTGGACTCCAGTGGGGAGAGTTACAGTGATTATGAGGACGAGAAACAATTTCGGGGTTTTGATTGGGATGCTGAACAATCCTCTGCAATGCGTTCGAGTGATTCTGATTATGAAAATAATGGGTCTAGGTCGCCTTTGCTAGAGAGGCCGTCGGATGTTCGGGTAGTACGCAGCAAAACACACGACTGTAAAAAAAATTATTGCGAAAGACATTCTAGTAAACATAACCCAGATTGTCATAACGACAAAAGTAAACCCGTAAGACTGAAAAAGCCTAAACATGACCATCATTATGAAGCCAAACGTTCAGAAAGACAACTTGCAGCTTGTGAATGCAAAAATAATCCAAACGGTGATTTTTTCGATAAGGCTAGTGCGAGTTCAAAAGATTTATTGATAGAAAAATCTAGTTTGGAATCTAATGAGAATGCTGATCAGGGAGATAAAAAACCGGACGAAAAGAAAGTTGTAGAGACAAAACTTTGGGACCACGATATATCTAATTCTAGCAGTAGTAGCAATACTAATATAGACAGACCCCCAGACGAAGAGAAAGACGATAAAAATATCGCTCCAGAGACTGAAGATTCTCAACTGACCTGTGACAGCAAAAGTGTCGAGGAAAGAAGTGTGTATAGCTTAGACTGGCTTTTTGAAGAGACGGAACAAACTCCGATAGACTTTTGTAAGGAAACAGGTGCCAGTGCTTTAACGGAGGAGGTGCTTTGTCAGAAACTAGCGAATGCGCTCGGCGAATCGTCTTCCAATGTTCCAAAAAACTTGGGCGCTATACCAAAGCAGATAAAAAACTTAGCGCGTTCACGAGCTTCTTCGCAGAAGGAGAACAAGAAGAGAGATTCTAAAAGAGAAAAGGATGAAAATCAAAATGAAGAAGTCATCATGTTTGATGCGGTGGAAGCTCAAGCTGCTTTGGTACAAGGATTGGAATGCTTATTCGCAGCAACAAATGCTAATACTGTCGTAATGCCGCCTCCTAACCGAGAAGAGAGGCCTAGACACCGACAGAGTGTTAGGGGTGAGAGAGAAAACTCGCACAAAACAAGGAAACGCTCCATAGAGGAAGTAGCACAAACCTCTACTAATACCCTACTCCCAACGTCCATGCCTTTACTAGCAGCCTTTTTGAACTCCAGGGTAGACTTCGGACCATGTTGTGTGCCATCCTATGTAGCTAACAACGAAACTGCTTCTCCTCAGAATGTGCAAGCTGCAGAAGAAAGTCAAAGACTCAGACCACTGATGGATAGAAACCACAGAAATCGTGTAAGGAAAATAAAGCGATCGACCCGACAGCGAAATAATCCTTCTTTGCAAAACAATGCAGAGAAGAAAGACGTCCCTCCCGTTGTAGATAGTTCAAATAGTTCTAATAGTGTTCATTTTGCTACTTCCTTTGACGACACGACTGACGGCGCGATACATTGCTTTATGGATGAGTACGGCAACTGGATGTCGTATACTTTTGACAAAAATAGCTCAGGACGAGGTCAGGCGCAACCCATTCCTCTTCCAGAAAAAGAGGATGGTATGCGAATTAACAGGGTTAAACCGATCGATAATACCCTCGATAATTCTCAAGAAACAGCTGGAGAAGGCAGCTGTGGCTCTCTAGAATCTGAAGCTGGTAACAGCGAAAGTATAGCGAAAACGAAACGCGGTGATAGCATCGACCAAAGTTCTTCTAATCAGGGTAGCAATAATCCCCTTTTATCCAGTAATAATAATATATCGACAGTTGTTCCTATAAATACTAATAATGCTAACAAACGGTTCTATGTCTTCGACGGTGGAACTGGCACTCATACTGACCAACCTAGATCTCCTGTAGCCTATGTGACTGATAGTTTGTTAGAGCAAATAGAGGCTGAAAGACAGTCTAGAATGGGACTGCCTAGTATGCATATAAATTTTTTGATGAATCAACAAAGAGCGCAACAGCTAGCTCAACAACAAGTTGAAAATACGTATGCAAACATACCAAGTTTGATGGCCACAATTGGAGAGGAGTCTGTAGAAATAAATATTAGAAACAAATTTTCGAAACTTATGGATGAGATGGAGAAGGCTAATCAACCGAAACCAAAGAGTTATTACAAGTTTAAATTATCGAAATGTCTTGAGTTGAAGGTGACCTTGGATAGACTGCAGCTAATGGCTTTATTCGATAGGAACTTAACGTTCAAAGAAACTTTTGTTACAATAATATTAGCAGTTATGGTGGCTGTTTTAGGGTCCACAGTCTTGAACCTCGGCTTCTACAGGGATATATACGCGTTTTGGTTTTGTTTTATAATGGCGGGCAGTCAGTATTCATTACTCAAGAGTGTCCAACCGGACTCTGCATCACCAGTTCACGGGTTTAATAAAATGGTCGTATTCTCGAGACCTGTGTACTTTTGTTTATGTACAGGGATCTTGTGTTTGGTGCATAGTTTTTTAGAACAAACTGTGCCGTTGGCGGCAGATACGCATATACGGCGTAGAAGAAGTTTTGACGTCAGTAAACCTATAACTATATATGGGTTTGAAATAAACGAAAGAGATTTTTTATTCGTAATACAGGAGGTGCTATCCAAGTTCCTACTATTTTTTCCTCTGGCATTCAGTTTGGGGTTGTTCCCTCAAGTAAATACATTCCTCATGTATATACTTGAACAGATTGACATGCACGTGTTTGGTGGTAACGCGACCAGCAGTTTAAGTGCTGCAGTGTATTGCGTCGTGCGATCTTTAGCTGCAGTAGGAGTACTTTACGGGTTCGCTTACAGTGGACTCGTAGAAGGCAAAAAGTCGCAGCATCAGAAACATAACATACTTTTCTCGATATTCTGCGGCCTTTTAGTGCCAATTGCCTACCACTTGAGCCGTAGCGCGAGCGATTACACATTAATATGGAATCTTATTAAAAAACATTTGCTTCCACCAGAATTATATGTTGTACATAACCCTGAAATTTCTCCAGAACTTGAAAAGTCTGATCCAAACATGTTGAGCGAAGAGAAGAAGAACAATTCTGAGAGTAACATATCTAAACAGAATTCCATTGGCAGTTCTGCGTCTAAAATTAACTTTAGTTCTGAGACGAATATTGCAAAGCAAAAACGCTCACAGACTTCGAGCGTGAGCTCTTTGAAAATGGATCCGAGAGGAGACACAATAAACTCTACGACTTCCTTGAAAGTTGATCCACCCACCGAAGAAGACAAAACTCAAGATACAAATACCAGCGCTTCGAATGTAAAGGCGGAAACAGATAAACCTGATGAAGATATGGAGGATCCGTTGCCAAAAAAGCTACAAGCGACAGTGAATGCCAGACTCAAGAATGATGTCATAGTTTGCGCTTTTCTCGCACTGTTCGTATTTGGACTACACTGTACCACCGTTTTTACGACTCTCCGGCCGCAGCTCAATACGGTAAGTCGATTCTGATAGCTTATTGTACATCAGTAACCAGCCAGCGAAAAAAATTAAACTTTTTTTCGCTGGCGGCAACTCCGCGGTAAACAGCTGGTCTGAATTGCTCCCGTCTATTTTTTTAATTTAAATAGTATATTTTGTGTAAAATATTATTTGAATGCCAATTTCTCACTAAACAAATAAATAATACTTACATAAAATAAGTATAGTTCATAAAGTTATTTTAGTCAAATAAACATAAGTTTTGTAAGTGACGGTATGGTTACCGGTAAGTCACGAATAACTATAAGTATTTAAAAATTGTGCTTATTATTTATATTGTGATTTATTGTTAATGCTTTACAGGTATCGTTACTTGATATATTTATTATTTTCTTCAATACAATTCAGACAAAGTGTAGCATATTAATAATACGCACATATTGACACTACACAACTTACCCGCCACTGTGTGATATCAACTCTCCTTGGTGATCATTTAATAAAGGTTTGCCTTTGACGGGCCTGTTGGTCTAGTGGTTAGTGACCCTGACTGCTAAGCCGGAGGTCGTAGGTTCGATTCCCACCCAGGACAAATATTTGTGTGATGAGCACAATCATTTGTTCGCTAAGCCGGAGGTCGTAGGTTCGATTCCCACCCAGGACAAATATTTGTGTGATGAGCACGATCATTTGTTCTGTGTCTGGATGTAATTTATATATAATATGTATGTATTTAGAAATATATAAGTATGTTTATCAGCAGTCTGGTTTCCATAGCACAGGCTCTGCCTAGTTTGGGATTAGACGGCCGTGTGTGAGATGTGTGAAGTTTGTGTGAAGAATTATTATTATTATTTTTGCAAAACAGTAAATTGAACAAAAAACTAAGTGTATACGTTTCAATGTGCCAAACGTCAAGCCAGTGAAAACTACTATAATGATTAAGGATGTCGAGTTGGACCTTGTGGATGCTACGACATTTTTAGATATAACACTAGGTTCTAAGCTACAGTAGGGCCCACATATTGATAAATTATCGAGAAGACTCAGCTCAGCAGCACGACTAGTTATTTTCACAGCATAATGTCGTACGGTATTCTACTGTGGTTGCCGACATTTTGTATTGCAAAAGAGAGTACGAACACGAACATTTTATAATTTAGGCAATTGTTTTTCATTAAGGCAGAAATTTTAAGAATTAAACGTAATGACAGTGGCATATCAATATATATATGAAAATGTAATATATGTTCATAAAAACAAGGTTAACTTTTTTTTAATTCCAGAAATAGGAATAAACTTGTAGTACATGCCAAAACATAAATAAGTCGTTTCGAGGTCAATGTGTCCGATTTTATAATAAAATCCCAAATGATATTCAAGACTTAAGTATTAACAAATTTAAATCCGCAATTAATCGTGAATCCCTCTGCCTCTGCCTCAGGCTATTACTCAATTGTGGATTACATAGAAGACAAACATGCTTGGGAATAATTTAGCGCAGGCTATTTCTTAAGTGGAAATGTAATGTGGGCTAGGGTGTTTTTTTATTTAAAAAAGAAACTATTTTTTATGTTTCACTTCAGTTTCTCTTTTATTTGATCTTTTTTCCTAATCTTATTTTTCTCTTTATTGTCTTTTTACCTTTTAGTCCTTAACAACGGACATACTGGCACACATCGAAACAATGTTGTGGTATATTTAATGATGCCATTATATGTATCTGTAAATTGCAACAGAGTGGCCATGAGTTTGTTTGCCTTTTTTTTTCATAACGCTAAACCCCTTACGAAACGGGCGGTTGTGGATCGGCAGAGACATATCATAGATTTTGTCATATACATATCATAGAATCATTATTATTTTTTCCTTTTTGACAAAACAGAGATTTTTGCTATTGTGTTTGTGTTGATCAACGACTTTAGAGTCTACATAAAAGACGATTTCAAACAATTTGAAAAGAAATATGAAATAAATATATTTTTGAATTTGAATTTGTTCAGAAAAACCTACAATCAGCAACCGGAAACAGAGTACGATCGTAATTTTCTATATTATAATCAAATTATTGATGGAAATAAAAATGCTGTTTTAAGTGTTCCGTCGAAAACAGAATTTCATCAATAAAAGAAGGAAATCAGCTAACAAATAAAGACCAAAATGTAGCAAATTTTTGTATTAAGTTTACATGACAGGTACACTGTTTTACAAAACTAACACCTTAAGAAGAAATCTCATAATTACAACATCTATCAAATCTCTATTACGTTATATGCCATTTTACTAGTATTTTTTAATTACTAGGTACTATGGATAATCGCCGGTATCCTTGGCTGGGTGCTACACTACCTCACCCCTCAGCTCCGGAAGCAACAACCTTGGCTGTGTCTGGCCGGACCGGTGCTAAAGCAACACGAGCATGCGCAGTTCGAAGTCACTGAACCTGCTAAGCTTATGTGTTTTGAGAAGGTACTTATAAAAAAATATTTTGAGCAAAGTGATGTTGTATGATGTACGTTCAGTATCCTGAGTTTTAGCAGAATTATAGTCAAAGTAAGGTGTATATGGGTTACATGTGTTCGAACAGTTCCTTCCCACCTGTCTAGGTTTCTGTTTATCACTGGTTAAGAAACCTTTTTGCAATAGAGGACTTTTAGATTGCATTTTCTTTTAAGTTTTAACTCAAGAAAACAAATGAAAGCACTTAAGTAACAAATAAATCGAGATTTTTGATTTAACTCAACATTAATTAAAACAAAACAACACCAATAGATGTTTTGTGGCTGTTTGTCGTTTTTAATAACATTTATTGTGATATACCTATATAAACTAATCTCTCAGTTATATCTTACTAGCTATTGTCCGCTGCTCCGCTTGGATATGGTTATCGCTGTAAAAAAAGAGCCTATGTTACTCGCTGATGATTTAGCTTTCCATTGGTGAAAGAATTTTTAAAATCGGTTAGTGGTTTAGGTGTGACAACGTAACAAACAAACATGAGAACATATTAAAAAAACTCACTTTTACTTTTATAATATAAGTATGGATGTTCTAAAGTTAATGTGATACATATCTTTGTTAGATCTTCGTGTACTTATGTTTCCTGGAGCGCAACGTGTTATACCCGGCCGTGGTGATAGCGGCCACCCAGGATGCGCCCGCGATCGCGGCCAAGTACGGAGACGCGGTTGGTGCGCTTATCATATGCGTGTGCGCACTCAAGTGTAAGTAGCTTTAAATGATGTTTACTACGATTGTAATTCTCCACAATTACTGATGGTGACTGGTGGAGATGGAACCGCCTTTCTAAACGAACTTGTCCATTTTTTTGAGCACCCTCTGTCCTGATATCAACAATCGTGCCTATATCTATTCGCAACGGTGTATTAAACACTCATTTTGCATATGTATAATGCTTTAGTTCTAAGTATATAATTTATATTCTTAGCATGCAAACTGTGTATGTCATATACAAACTACTTAAATAAAATAGAGTGAGTGTTTCTACTGATCATCGAAAGATGGCGCTAAAGTATATTTTATTCTGATGTGAATGATGTCACAATATCAACCACGACGTATTTTTGTAGTCAAATAATACATGATCTACATTTCTTTACAGGCCTTAGGAATGCGTACTCAGAACCAGAATCGCAGTACCTTATATTAGTATTTGCGGTGCTACTGTTTCAAAAGGATCTGAGCAGTCAGAAGATATCGGAGACTTTCCTAGTGGATTACTTCATAACCGCCGTTATTTTCAACAAGGTGTACGAGTTCTTGTTGAAAGTGAGTTGAATTGCCTTTTATTAAAACTAGCAGTATTGTTAACTAGCAGTTATACTCTAAATGAGTGCCAATAAATCAAATTTGTACGTTTTTAGATTTACTACATAACACATAATATTTTTTATCGTTTTATTACTTTTATTAGATATCTATTTGATAGAATAATATTAAACAACCTCAGTATGTCGAAAATATTTGTGTCGAGGTTGAATGATGAGGTTTGATTATAATAATCATTCTAAAACTTTTTTTATAAATATTCATTAGTGTCTTCTTATTTATAAAATTCTCGTGTAACAATGTTCGTTCCCGTACTCCTCCGAAACGGCTTGACCGATTCTCATGAAATTTTGTGTGCACATCGGGTAGGTCTGAGAATCGGCCAACATCTATTTTTCATACCCCTAAATGGTAAGGGTGACCCATCCCTAATTTTTTTTTGTTTTGCAATACAACGTTTGCCGGGTCAGCTAGTATACCTATAAATGAAAGAAAACTACCGAGTGAGTTGGAGCCATTCTCTGTTCTACATTCCGAAATTAAAATAGAGGTGGTTTCTATAAACCTATTCTTCATAAACGGTAATAATGTTCGCCTCACGGCCAACAGAAGGTATATTATTCGATCGACAGTGAACTGCAAATGGGCCACTTAAAAAGCACCCGAATCAAGAAAGGTCTGACTGCACTGATGGCGTAGTAGTTTAAGTTGTCACCACGCCGCTTTCTAATGCGCTGAGTGTTGTGGGTTCAATCCCCACATGGGACGACAAGTTATCGGGGGTTTCTTTGTGTCTCATTCATGTTTCTGAAGTGCATATGCTATATTCCTAGTGCGGAAGTTGATTTTTTAAAGAAAAATAAAGTGCTCGAAAAGTGTCTATTAGGATCTTTCTTGATTCTCGTACTTTTATGTTGAAGAGGTTCAGGCCTACTCCGTACAGACATGGCGTAGCCTTGTTCTTAGTAAGAGACAAGTGTGTATGTTGTTGACAGGTGCAATTTGTAGTGACATACATAGCGCCGTGGCAGATCACGTGGGGCAGCGCGTTCCATGCGTTTGCGCAGCCCTTCTCCGTGCCGCATTCCGCCATGTTGTTCCTGCAAGCCGCACTCTCCGCTCTGCTCTCTTCACCACTCACTCCTGCTTTGGGTATGTAACTTCTTCTTCTTATTGTATCTAGTAATAACATATCAATGTATCTTTTGTCAATCGATCTATCCCCGCCAAACAGTACTGTTTTCTGGGTAAAGCTCTCTCTCGAATCTCTTTCTGACAACATGTATTTAAAATGTCATAATGATAAGGTGATTAGTTGGTAGGCGTGAAAACGACACACAATCCAACCAATCAAAATATTCGCATTATTATCATCAAGGGCCTTTGATAGTCCACTGCTGGACATGGCCTCTCCTTAGAAAGGAATTTTTGGTAATATTCGCATGAATACGTCATAATATTAATATGATGTATATATGCGAATGTTAGCTTAATGATTATTTAAAATTTGAAGCATTTATATAATTCTGCTAAACTTTTATCTGCCTCGGTCTGAGGTCTTTTGTTCGATTCCCGGTCGGACCTAATGTTTGTATGATCTGCAAATATTTGTTTCGAAGTTTGGGTGTTTTCCATGTAATAAAAAAAGTAAGTTGTAAGTTAAGTATTCTAGCAGTCAATATAGCTTTCCTAGTAAAAGCATTGTATAGTTTGAAACTAGCTGGCGTTGTGTCAGATGTCCAAAATATTATTATTATTAGCTATGTTAGAGAGTCATGCTTGCTTAAGCGAACACGCCCTTACAGAATCCCTTCGGCCGCAATCGAAACCGTTCGTAACCATTTGAGGAGGAGGAAAAAAAGATCTTTGTACGAAACCAGTTTCGAACCAGGATTGTTTATTCTTTTTACGAAACCGCGGTTACGCACAACGAATTTATTTTTAATAGTTTCGTTTTTATAGTTTTTTCTAAAGAGGTAACCACTTTCACGGGACAAACATAAAACACAGATAATATTAGACATTTGACACAAATAAATAATTATAACTGGTCAGTATTTCATTAATCATGAGTTTGTGTACCTAGGTCCATTAATAAGGAGCAATATTTCCTCCCTTGCATGTATACGTCTTTGTAACTAGTAGGTTTCCTAAAACGAACTAATAATCCTGGTTCGAAACTTTTCTGGTTCGTACAAAGATCATTTTTCCTCCTTCTCAACTGGTTACGAATTATCAATGATAAGGCATTCTTTCGTTGCTCATCACCAAGTGAGTTTCATTCAGGAGGGGCTCATAGAGCGGCAAATCACTAGTGACTCTTTGACTCCTCTTGCAGGTAGGTATCCGTTGCGGTAGTCACTTACCATCAGGTGATCCGTCTGCTCGTTTGCCTACCATAAAAATAAATTATTTTGCAGGTAGCGCAATATTTATGACGTCATACGTTCGTCCAGTAAAGTTTTGGGAGAGAGACTACAACACCAAACGCGTGGATCAAAGCAACACCAGGCTTTCGTCACAGTTAGAAAGGAACCTTGGAGCTGGTGAGCGTCTAAGAATTTTACACCCACACACAGAACAAATGTTCGAACCCACGACTTCTGTCTTAGTAGTCATAACCCCTAATCAATAGACCAACAGGCCAGTCGTTTGAATCTATACAAATAAATAAAATTGGAGTGTCTGTTTGTAATATTAAAATAACCGCTTTTTACTAAATACATATGTATGTTTACACGGTACATATGCCAAAATAACATTTTTTACAATTTTTGTCTGTCTGTCTGTCTGTTTGTTCCGGGTAATCTCTGGAACGGCTGGACCGATTGCGACGAGACTTTCACTGGCAGATAGCTGATGACATAAGGAGTAACTTAGGCTACTTTTTTTAGACTAGCTTCGCCCCGCGGCGTTGCCCGCGGTTATAACAACAAACGCGGGTAACACCGCGGGTCTCAGCTAGTTATATACATATATATCTATAAAGAAGAAATTGACAGATTGATTCATTGACTGATCGATCAACGCACAGCGTTAACAGCTGGGTCTAGAATCATGAAATTTTGCACAAATGTTCGTTAGGTGAAGTAGGTGTGTACTAAGAAAGGATTTTTAAAAATTCTACCCCCAAGGGTGCAAAATGGGTGTTGGAATGGAATGAAACTTCATTATTTTTGGTAGTATCGTTTTCAAACTCACAGTATTATTTATTAAAAGTAATAAAAAACGTTACTAAGTTTTCAAATCTACCCGTAAAAAGTTTGTATTCAACTCTTTTTTTACTTATCGATTCCAAACTCTCAGTATAATTGACTGCACGGATGGCGTAGTGGTTTAAGCGCTGAGTGTTGTGGGTTCGATTCCCACATGGGACAACACTTTGTGTGATCTACAAATTGTCGTTCTGAGTGTGGGTGTTCTTTGTGTCCGTTTCATGTATGTTTGTAAAGATATATTCTTGTGCGGGAGTTATCTTATAAAAATAAATACTGAGATTTCTGAAGTCGACCACTAGGCGAACGAAGTCACTGGCAAAAGCTAGAACTTCATAATCAAAATTGCATTTATATGAACGTCTGTACACAAAAAATGTAGAATGGAGTAACACCATAAATTATAAATTTTTTATATTGCAGATGATAATAACTTGAATTCAATATTTTACGAACATTTAACACGGTCGCTACAACACTACCTGTGTGGAGATCTGATGCTGGGCCGGTGGGGGCAGGTACAGCAAGGCGACTGCTTTGGTGAGTCACTTGGACTATTTAGACTTTAATTTAAATTAATAATAAGTGGACCAATTACACACACGGCCATCTGATCTCTAAAAATATGCAGGGGTAGGTACTATACAGGGTGTAAGGAACGTCGTAACGAATACTGAAATAGTGTATTCAAACCATCATTCTGAGTTGAAAATCATTGGAATTTTCTGCTTTGCTTATTTTTGTATATGATTTTTAAGTGTAAGTGAGTTTGTATTTCTGATGATTAGATTAGGTAGAAAAATTTAATTTCAGAAAATAAGTTCTCATTTATTCATAAAATTACTAATGTAAAAAAATATAAAACAAATGTCAAATCAAAATGTATTATAATTAAAAAAAACAGACCTCAAGCAACAACAACAAGCATCGTGATTTCAATAATATCGGTATATTAATGTTTACTAAAGTTAATGCATATTTTTTCTGATATTTTTCGATTCACGTACTACATACTGAGCCCAAGTTCGAAAGACCAGTGTTGGGGCGTTTTCTCTAAGAGCTTAAAAAAAAACTAACAGATAGTGATTTTGATTTTGACTATTTCAACAACGACCCTTTGCATTTTACGATATCAAAACCTAACGGTAATTCAAAAGCTTGTAACCCAAGTTCTGTGAACATTCATTCAACATCAACAAAATTCTGAAAGGAAACCGAAAATTGTAAAAAGTACTGATGATGAAGGAAATGTTCAAATATTACGTCACTCCGCAGTGCTGGCATCGGACTACCTAAACTGCCTAGTCCACATCGTAGAGATGGGCAACGGGCTTGTGTCATTCCAACTGCGAGGGCTCGAGTTCAGAGGGACGTACTGTCAACAGAGAGAAGTAGAAGCCATTTCGGAAGGACCAGAGGAGAGTAGCGGTAAGTTTACTTTATACTATTATTTTTATTAAGCACGTCTGATTTCAATAGATCTAAATTAATTACTAAATTTTAAAATACAAAAACTTATTTGGTGTATTTTTTCTAATATAATGTGTGGAATATACTTCTTATAGAATTGAAAGGAAAAGTGCATAGGATAAAACACTCTCACGCTTCCTTACACTTTTATTTTTCTTAATTCTATTTCTTAAAGCCTATAATCCTATCAACACTAATCAAATTTAATAAAAAATACACTAGATGGCATTAATAGTTTTTCTTACTTAATTTTACACCAATTCATCTCGTAATTGCCGATCAGTTTTAGCCTTGATTATGCAAACGCCAATGTGCTCTAATAGTCAAATTAATATTACAACATAGTATATCGAGTTGTCTATGCATTTCGGTAGCCCACAGTACAAAGGGCGGTTACAAATGATACTTACGAAATAATGTTAGACTAGAATCAGGGCTGGATTAATCATCTGGCAGAGTCGGCAACTGTCTATGGGCCCCACATTTGCTGTTAGTACCTGAGAAGTTGCGCCTCAGTCAGGTGATGCTGCTGATGCTATTACTTACAACCCTTCGTCGACATACAAAGAGCTGAATCAAAAAAAGGGGGTCCTGAGAATTGCATTGCATAAGGGCCTCGACGTGGCTAACCTCTAATGAAGAGGTAGATATCGATTACGGATGGCATTGTCTCCCCAGAGGGCGTGTGCAACGGCGGATGGTGGTGCGGCGGGCGCGTGCTGTCCCCGGGCTCGGGCTGGGCGCTGCGCTGGCTGGCGTGGCAGCTCGTGTCGGCGCGCTACGTGCTGGAGGGCTACTCCGTCAGCGACAACAGCGCCGTCTCCATGCTGCAGGTCTTCGACTTCCGCAAGGTGCTGCTCACCTACTACGTCAAGGTAATTGTATTAAAACTCTGTCACTAGACAGCGACGTATCTAGAATGTTCATCTATACAATCTATTTCCGACCTTATGTAAATAGCAATAAAGATCCCGTATCATCCTGCGTTGTTACTGGAACAATCGCGGTATTCTCGTAAAGTTCGTAACAATATTTCGCACATTGTCCAACAATGTTATAAATGTAAATTTGTGATAAGGTATGATCCACTTTGTGTAACAAAGATAGTAGACCCAACTACAGCTAGTGTAACAACAAATACCAATCACTAAATACCTTGTTAACAGAGTATAATCTACTACACCATCCAATCAAGCAAGCTAGAAGAATGGTTGTCTTCCGCTACCATTGCAGAAGCTCTGAAGCCAATGAACGAAAGGAATTTCGTCGACTTGGACCCTATATTTAACGTAAATTTGGATGAAGACTACGATTTTAGAGCTTCAGGAATCACTCGGTAAGTTTTGATTCATTACTTACTCACACACCTTCAATCTAATATGTACTGTAACTGAACTTACTAGAGTTAATAATGGTTTGAGTGATCGATTTACTGTTAACCTTAGCTGAGATTGCCACAAAATACATCAAATATTTATTGGCGGTTAGTTAATTACGTGCAGAATTAAATTTATAGTGTTATGTGTTAGAGTTCTTATTATTATAATACACCTTCTGACGACTAAAGAGACTTTATTACAAACACACTTAAGAACGTTTAAAAAATACTTAACAATAGTCCGGGATGATCGCCATGGTTGGATTACGCTTAGGTTTGTTTAGATCGCTTCGATATTTACCGCACTGTAACTCAAACGGAACTATTTATAAAACTCACCAGACCACTAGAAGGCTCATACTAAAAACTTTCGGTTACCGAGAAATCCGAGTAGGTAAAAACAAGGTAGGTATTCATGCGACAATGTATTTTCGATCTTATGCATATTGTTATAAAACTCATTCTTCTGTGACACCTTGCATTATTACTGGAACTATTCCTGAATTGTACGGTCGTATAACCTCTCTCTCTTTTTCGAATTTTCGTGTTATTTTGTGAAGTTACGTAAACATAGTATGTCTATGTATGTGTACGTCTAATTTTCTATTTGAGAAATGAAAAATATTTATTAGCGAGCGACTATATGCCGGCGGCATGAAGAATATCCGATGATAAAAGCGTGAAGACGGTCCTTTAAACCCCTTTTGTAAAGCACGGATATTTTTTCAGTTTTTGGTCAATAATTTTTAATATTGTCAGTCTCGTCAACGTAAGAAAACTATGAAAATTGAAGTGAAACTCGTATTGAGTGTTTGCGTTTTTTTCTTATAACTAGGAGTCGTTTCTGCGCGATGTACGGCGAGTGGATCGCGCACTGCGGGGCCCGGCGCGGCGCGAGCTGGCGTCGTCGCGCCGCGCACGCCACGTCCCCGCTCACCACGCTCTGCTTCGCGCTCAGCCTGCTGGGCCGCCGCGCCCTCGCCGCCGCGCAGCACCTCTCCGCCTCCAGGTAACGGGGACAGAGACGTCACCTCACAAACATGTACACTTTGTATAATCATCATCTTCAGATTTATGGCCTACTATACCACACTGGCCAGACGGGTTGGTATAGTTTGTTTCAAGCTCTTACGACATCCACGGAATGAATAGGTGCGGTCACCGTCACCACACGGACTCGAATCGAATCGACTTTGTATAAAAAATCGGCATAATCCAGATTAATTACACATTTAATTTTCACAAAATTTTAAAAGTTACTAATGCACCAAACTTTAAATTATGATATACTACATCCATTATACAATTCAGTTATTATCCAGAAATAATTATATGTGTATCACAGTGTGGAGTTCTTCCTATACGGACTACACTCGCTGTTCAAAGGCGATTTCCGCATCACGTGCGCACGCGACGAGTGGGTGTTCACCGACATGTCGCTGCTGCACTCGGTACTCGCACCCGCTATACGGATGGCACTCAAATTGCATCAGGTACGTCCCTTATTATATTCTATTATCTCAAAAGGGACAATTAAAGTGTCTCAGTATTTTTAACCGACTTCAAAAAGGAAGAGGTTATCGATTAGGATATTTATATTGCTTTTTATGAATGTTCCAAAATGGTATGGTCTCATTTAATTTTTTTATAGATCTGATGATGAGTTTTGGAGACAGACAACATTGCTGCTAGGTTTTTAATGTTCTTTGTTAGTAATGTTTAAAGCCGGTTCAACTTTTTTTTAAAGGATTTATTTCTGATAGAATGTTACCTATTTTAAATATTCCTGACAACGTATATGCAAATATAATGGTGAGCAGTTGAATAGTTGCGTCATAAATGTGTAATATACAACATCACTCATATTCCCATTTCTATAATATATTTAGGATAGTGATTTGGTAAAATAGATATATTTATATAACAAAATGCTACATGGAGCCATTCGTTTCAGGATCACTTCATGTTCCCCGAGGAGTACTGCAGCAGCTCGGCGCTGTACTGCGCCATAGCGTCGCACGCGCAGCGCCTCGTCATCTGCCACGAGGCCGCGCCCGCCTGGCGCTACAACGTGCTACGTGGGGCCCCCCACCTGCTCGCGCTCAGGTCACTTTGTATGCCTTGTATTACAGCACTTGCTGTTATAACGTTGACCGCATTGCACAGGGCTCAGGTCCACAACAGTACTCCAAATGATCAACTTTGTGATGCTTTATTTGGCTACAAGCAGCTTTTCCTGATGCTATGACATACTCCAACGTGTACTTTCCACATTCAAGGGCAGAGGCATGCATTCAAATTCTGTGTTGGATAACTACACTTACACTTATAGATACTACTTCACATACACTTCTCCGATTTCAAAGTATAAAACTCTGGATTCATTGTACTGCACCAGTTTAGTCCACATTGCAGTGACTATCAAAATTAGTGTTCTTACACTTGATTTATATTAAAAAAATAAAAGCCGTGTGGTGTCATGGGACACCCAATAGGAACGAAGTTGTGACGATCGAGTAAAACTGATTCGACACGATTTTAATTACAACGCCATCTATGAAAGCAGCTATTACCTACATTTGGTTTCTAATTAAAACAATTTATACATTGGTAAAATCTCCTTGAGAAATGATTTCCTATCTATTCGATAGATGGCGCTGAATGACTGACAAATGACAATTCAAAATAAATGCTAAGATGAAAGTAATGATTTCCTATCTATTCGATAGATGGCGCTGAATGAATGACATAAAAAGTGTCGTTACAACTTTTCGTGAGAATATTTTCCGTCTAGCCCCCTTTCACAACGCGCGATAAGGAACTTCGTTCCAAAAGATCAAATCAAATATTTTTTTACAGGCATGTAATGGACGAAGGCAATGACGACTACAAGATAATAATGTTGAACAAGCGCCATCTAGGGTTCAGAGTCATCAAACTGAACCGAGAGTGTGTTCGTGGACTGTGGGCGGGACAGCAGCAAGAACTCGTCTATCTAAGAAACAGGAATCCTGAGAGAGGCTCTATACAGAATGCTAAACAGGTATGTATCGTTAGGAAGACGAAGTTAAATGGATACAACTGCAAGCTTTTTTTTTAAACAACAAAATTGATATAATGGCGCGGTTGTATCAACCCAAATGTAAGACTTTATTTATCATGCTTGATGATGTTTAAAAGTGTTTATATAATTTACTTTTTGTTTGTTAGCTGGCTGTTTAATTTTTTTATTTTTTTCAAACGGATCATATCACAGCCTATAATAGTTCACTACTGGACATAGGCCTCTCTTTAGAAAGGAGATTTGGGCTACTATACCACGCTGGCCAGACGGGTCGGTATAGGGTTTGTTTCAAGTTTTCCTTCTTTTTGCAGTGCTGTTGTCCTGTGTATGCTCCCTTAGTCGGCTCTTACGACACCCACGGGATGAATAGGGGTGGTGACATTCCGTATTCTTAATCCGTCACCACACGGATTCAAACGGATAACTAAAGTCTATTGTCTGTATATTGGTAATGTTCAGTAATAGTTTTGTTGTGCTCGGTGCAGGCGCTCCGCAACATAATAAACTCGTCGTGCGACCAGCCCATCGGCTACCCCATCTACGTGTCGCCGCTGACCACGTCGTACGCGGACACGTCGGCGCAGCTGTGCTCGCTGCTGGGCGGGCCGCTCACCGTCTCCGCCATCCGCGCTCGCCTCGCCGCCGCCTGGAGACGGTACGCCTTCTTTGTCACCTCTGCTTAGCTCTCCTGCCTGTGTCCGGAGATTAGTGCGTTTAATTATTACTCCGGTGTATATGATACTAGCTTTTGCCCGCGGCTCCGCTCGCGTATATAGCGGTAAAAAGTAGCACATGTCTTATTTCCATACCAAATTTCATATGAATCAGTTGAATAGTTATTGATCCCTTATACAGACTTCCACCCCCTTTTACGCCCCTTAAAGGATAATTTCTGGGATAAAATAAAAAATATGTTATGTCCTTTCACGGAACTCAAATTATCTCTATACCAAATTTCATCAAACAACTATTTCATTACTAATTTTGATCGCGTTGGGTTCCGTCGACATATTAATTATAAATAATTATTTATATGTGCTGGTTACCTTTAAAATATGAAAATATAAAACTGAGTATGTTGGCAGTATCCGTCGTCGCTGCGGCGAGGGCTGCTCGTCGGGCGGCGCGGGGGCGGGCGGTGCGGGGGCGGGGGGCGCGGCGGCGTGCGAGGCGGGCGCCACGGACACGCGCCACACGCCGCGACACAACGCGCTGCACCTCTCCAGGAACTCGCTCGGTACGCACACGCTACACGTTCATAACACATATTTACCTCACACCTACATACGAATAAAACAGACACGTATATAAAAAAAGCGTACTCTTTCTTAAAAGGCCCGGCAACGCGCTTATAACTCCTGAGTTGTAGGCTTTCATGTGCGACGGTAGTCACTTTCCACTTCCATAAAAAAAATATACAGTATGACATTGTCATTTCCGTCCAAATTTTTTTTTGGCACTAGGCATTGGCTGAAGGACCCCATTTACGCAAAAAAAATGGTAGGTCAAATTTTCAACAAAAAATATTCCATCCCGAAGAAAATATTGAGCAACGTGGTCAATACTTCAAACGTACAAAATAGTTTTATACTAGTTACGTAAACATTGAGAGAAAGGAATGCATCGGGGAATGCGGGGTGTGAAGGGAGCGGAGTGAGGCATGGGCGAAAACTGGCCGCTGGCGCCGGTATAGATCAAACAATTAAAGAATTAATAGGTTAGTCGGCAGCGTCCTGTCGCGTCGGTGCATCCTTAGGGTTTACCGCTCGTTCACCCATGACGTCGACAGTGCAAACAATGTTTTCTTATTACGATAATTACGAAATGGTGCGTTATTACATTCGTAGTGATGAAAGCCAAAATGGTGCATAGCGATTTTACGAGTAGGAAAGTATTATTTATACCGACACTGACACTACAGTCAGTATCACCGACTACTAGGCCAATACATAAATATGTACAACAGTCGATAGATAAAAAAAATGTTTATTTTGGAACAGATAACAAAATAATTTAAAACAATGAGTTCGATAGTGACTGCCGTAATTCAAAACTGTGACTCAGTCACTAACGCCCAAATCTGGATCGACATTAGTTCCAGCAATAACTAATTAATCTAGCTGATATTTAAGTAATATGCATACATTTGTATACATATTACTTAAATCTACCAGTTCTAATACTAAGCTTTAATCATAGTACTTCATCATACCAGTAAAACTGTAGTATATAAGTACAAGTGCAAGAGCGCGTTCCTATGTGTATGTGTGTGTATGTGCGTGCGTGCGCGCACGCATGCGTGTGTATAGCGAGCATATACATAATGTATGCTAATAAACTGTTGCTGCAGGCGGCACGCGCAGCAGTTTAGCGAGTGCTGGCAAACCGACTTCATCTACTCTTGCGTCTCTGGCCGGATTACTTAGAGAACACTCACATGAACGAAGCACTCCTGAAGAAACCGGTAAGTATCATTTTCCATTTTTTCCATAACAGCAATTAATTATTCCATTATTATTTTTTAATATTGCCATAACATTTTTAGTAGGCACCACTTCAGGCATTTTATAAGCAATTGTTATTGTGGATAGTTAAAATAATATTTAATATTGTTACGTGTTAGGGTTCGTTGATTCGGAATAGTAAGCCTTCTGACGACTAAAAAGATTTTATTATCACTACACTTAAAAAAGGTTCACACAATACTCAAGAATATTCCGGAATGATTGCCTAGTTCGCTGGGTCACACTTCTATTCACTTCAACCGCTTTGATCTTTATCGCACTCTAGCTGAACTGAACTTACTCCAAAGAAGACGTGTCCGTATTTATAATACCCGTAAAAGATCATTTTAGCAAATTCTAATCCCTAAGAGAACCGGCGGCTCCTGAGAAATACTAATTCGTTTCGAATTGAAATAAGATAATCGCGCGACAATCTATTTTCGATCTTATGCGTATTGGGATAGAACTCATTGTTCCGTGCCAACCCGTACCAGTACTAAACGGTTCCCGGAATTTTATCGAACCTTCTGGAATGTGCGTGCTTTTCTGTTGTAACAAAGTGATATACCGAAATTAAAAAAAAAACAGCTCCAGTATTTTGCAACTTAAATTTTGAAGTTACACACTGCTTCTATGAAACCAAAGCCTACTGCTGAAAATATATCTCCCCGACTTGGGTATTTTTGTTTTAAAAAGGATTAGGAAAGTTTTAAAAGGCAAGTTCCGAGCCGTATCATGGCTGTTTGAAAGCCTTAAATTATCTACATGTTTGGCGATGGATGATGAAATGCGTTACATTCTATCAAAAATATTTCATGGTCATTTGTGGGCAAGTCCCTAAAAGAAATCAGCGAAAATCCTTTGTAACATTAAGTTTCAGAGTGATACCACAGCCTCACAGCAATTAAGCCATTCTTTCGTTGCTTTTCACCGAGTGGATGAGGTTACCAAAGTTAAACCCCTCCGGAAGGGGTTTAACTTACCCGCTCCGTTGTATGAAAACGTCAATAACAACAACAATGATGTTTTGCGTGGCGTTACGTAACACTTTCTGATTGGTGTTTGCTGTCACGTGACTTAATGATAGGCAAAAATAAATTCAATCAAAATAGTGAATTTATTTTCAAAAAATATTAATAATCTTTAACTTTTATGAGAAATAGACTGTTTTTTTCTTATCTATATCTCTTCATTATAATTTATAATTGGAAACTATAAAGCAAGCAATTTGTTATCAGTGGACACAAGCCTATTGTTTTTATATATTAACAGTATTAAAATTATGAGCTATTTGCTTTCCATAAATCTTACGATCTGATTAACAGCATTTATACACATTTTTATTCAACTATTACAATCATTATTTATACAAGTAAAAAGTTGAATAGTATATAGTTTATAACACAAACTTAATAGCTTTCTGCTTTTCTGCTCAAACATAAGGATTAGATATATTGAGGATTTATAACTGTGAGTGGAATATTGTTTTATATGTATATGTACGTAGATATGTGTGGGTCATTGTTTCTCAACATGCTAATATTTTGAATATCCCTTAAAATGGCTAATCTCAATTTGCTTTAATTTACTGGATGTAATAGTGAATTCGATAATTTTAATATGTTAAAATGTAACTCAGTGTTGCTATCGTTGAATAATTTAATTTATAGGAATATAGCAGATGGGGTCACAATCTTGTATGTTGAGAAACGATGTATTGTTATGTAGAAGGAACGGTAATGATATTCTTTTTGGATGCTTTTTGTTTATTATTTTTAGATAAATATTTTATTTATTTATTATTACTGTATTTTTTATTAGTTTATAAATTGTTTGACGTTCTTTTGCATTTGTATGAAATAATAAGTTATTAATTAATTTGTTTATGTATTGTATTATGTAAGTGTTGTCCAAAACGTGTTTAAGTTCGTTTGTTTTATCACTGTGTTTATATTTGTGTATGAAATTTCCACTCATCATAGTGAAGGTCAGACCTGAACAAGACTTCACAATTTACTGTATATGTAGTAAAGACACGTCGTCGAGCAGTAATAACTGTGGTGCTGTGTCAACGAGCGAGTAACGGATAAACTAGGAACATGGGGAACTAGTCCTAATGAGTAAAGTGGATAAGTAGTATGCGTTGTCCCACAGCGTGCGGTGGAGCCGAGCAGGGGGGGGCGCGGCGCCGCAGCGAGGAGCGCGGGGCGGGAGGCGCAGGGCCAGGCGCCGCCAGCACCGCGCCGCCCGCCACCGGCGCACGGCGCGAGCGCACCAGAGCACGGACGCCTGCTAAGGAACCTGGCAGACAGGTGTGTACTGTGCAACAATTTGATCAAATTTTAAAAAATCAGATCGATTCCAGAGTTTTGCGCTGCAACCGACCGAAAGTTTCTAATGATTAACAAAAATTGTTTTTTAGTCTTCAGGACATTAAATATGACTTAACACAGATTGTATTGACTATATTTTTTTCTTGATGTTTTCAAATTTCTTATTATATTTCAAATTCTGTTATCGATTTGCAAATCACTACGCCATCTAGTCCCAAATTAAGGGGAGTTGGTACTATGGTCATTAAAAAACTGATATAAATACATATATACTTTTTTTGTAAATACATACATAGCAGTCGGTTGCACAAACCACTACCTCATCCAGTCGTCATGCAACGCAGGCGAATTTAAGAAAAGCTAGTCTGATTTTAATGTTACTTTCTAAAACTTTGCTTGGCATTTCATGACTGTGGATACTTTAAAGACTATTATAACGCTTTTGATCGTTAAACCCGCCACGCTTCATCATCTTCTTGTACCTACCGACCGCTACCGCTGCTAGCTACTGCCCTAAAGTGTGTAAATACCGTAGGGAGGCAACCGCAGCCGCTTGCGGCGCGCGAACACGCCGGCTTCGATCTCGTTCCGCCTGCTCGCCGCCTCCGACAACCTGCGCCTCGAGCCCGGCGTGTGCGCCTCGCACCCCGGGGACGACACGCAGGTACGCCCGCACCCAATACCTACACACTTGCACCGACTCTTTCGCTTTCCATATTTGATTATACAACATCTTTCCTTTCGCTTACTCTCGGTTATGTGAAAAGAGACGGCAGTATGTAAGAGGAAATTTTATTTGACCAATGGGCGCGTGCACTGCTAGAGTTACATGTTACGCGTTACCCACAAATGTTCACCTTATAAACTATTTATATAATTCTTTTTGTCAATCTATGTTTCTCAGCACGCGAGTCCGTTACGTTATAATACTACTAGTTTTTCCCGCGGCTCCGCCCACAACATACGTCGGTTATCGCAGTAAGGAGTAGCTTATGTGACTCGCTGATAATGTAGAATTTTTTAAATCGGTTTAGGCGTGAACAAACTCACTTTCACATTTATATAAATACTAGCTGAGACCCGCGGTGTTACTCGCGTTTGTTGTTATAACCAACGGGCAACGCTGCGGGGCGAAGCTAGTCTAAAAAAGTAGCCTAAGTTACTCCTTATGTCATCAGCTATCTGCCAGTGAAAGTCCCGTCGAAATCGGTCCAGCCGTTCCAGAGATTACCCGGAACAAACAGACAGACAGACAAAAATTCTAAAACATGTTATTTTGGCATATGTACCGTGTAAACATACATATGCATTTAGTAAAAAGCGGTTATGTTAATATTACAAACAGACACTCCAATTTTATTTTTTTGTATAGATTTTGTCAATCAATATTTCTCAACACGCGAGTCCTTTACGTTATAATACTACTAGTTTTAGTTAGCCATCGACATACGTCGGTTTTCGCGTTCAAAAGTAGCTTATGTGACTCGCTGATAATAAACTCGCTGGTGAATAAACTCACTGTCACATTTATATGAATATACGATGTAAATTGGTGTATTTCTTAGAGCGCTGCTGGTAGTGGTTGGGAGTGTGGTTGGCGAGACCAGCCCCGACGAGCCGCCAGTGCTAAGGTAACATCCCACCGGGATCATAAAAAACTGTTTTGTGACTTGTTGGCTATTCGTTTTTATGTCATTTTACTAAATTCTTATCTATTGTATATATTTTATTTCAAGAACTACAAAAACTGGGTATCTATGGTGTTAAATGTATAAATATAAATAATATTGTAAAAGTATATTTATTATGAAATTATCAATTCATCACAATCTTAATGATTTTTGTTTCGATTCTTTTTTCAAGGAAATAACAAACTATAAAATAATTTTCTCTCTCACTCTATCTTTCTCTCTCTCTCTCTCTCTCTCCCTTAAGACTCTCTTAAGTAAGCTTCCAGCTTACGCCATACCAATCGGACTCTACGATTGTGTATTTGTGTATTTGATTTCCTGAGAAACCTTATAGTCAAATTATCATTAGGTAGATGATTGGTATTGACAAACACGTGTACTTGATGTGTCAGGTATCCAGCCGGGGCGGTTGCAGCGCGGAGTCCTCTCTGGAGGACCTGACGCTGAGCCCGAGCGGCCTGGACCTGTCGCTGCCCGACTGTAAGATCATCGCCAACAGGAACGCCAGGCAAGATAGAGACTTTAAAAGGTACCCCAGTATCATCTCACTCATTTCACAATAAACTGCGTTTTATTTTGATTTAATTTTATTTGAAACTTTCTGTTTGTCCATTTGTACGTTTAGCATACTTTTCGTTGTTTTTATGGTTCAAATAGATTAGTATTATACCGTGTTTAAATGTTGTCGTGTAATATACACACGCATATTCTAATATTGTTCAGGTTTTAAAATTCAATTTAATCATGAAAAGCTTTAAATTTCAATTATTCGTACACGGTTTTATAAAAAAATGTTTTTTTTAATACTTTTGTATTAAAAATAATAAATGAGAATTAATAATTCAAATCTATTTTACCTTAAAAAAACAAGTCAAGGATTTTAATTTAAATTTTGTATTATTTTTAAATTGTTCATGAAGGTTTCTATACTATAAAAGTATATTTTATGTTTCAGTGATAAAAGTTTTTTTGTTTAAATTATCGCAGTAACATAACACTACATTTCACTAACATGCAATTTACTCCAATTAACTATTTTTATTCTCGCCTATTGCATGTGATTTTCTTTGGAAAAGATATGATTTATATATACTAAAGAAACGTCTTGTTCTACAGATATTATGTCAACGAAATGACTCCAAAAGACTTGTCAAAACTAAGTAAAGAGATCCGACACGAAAGAGAAAGTTACCGGGAACTCACCGGCAGATATATTGAGAAACCCGAAGCAATACCTCTTAAAGAAACCCACTACTCAGACTTATCGAACAAAGAATCTATCCTCAAGAAGGAAGCGAAAAAGGACTCTAAATCAAAAGAAATAAAGACCAAAATAAAACGGTCAGATTCTGGTCGGAGTGAGTTGAAAGTGAACGTTAGCTTGGGAAGTAAAGTGTTAATAATTGAGCCTTTAGGAGTGTATGACTGTATCAATCTTGGGAGGAGGATCGATGTCCAGTGGCCTTCTGAATACCAGAGGGAGAGGGGTGGGCGGAACTTCTGGGGAAGTTGGGTGCCTCAGGCTGGGATGGATGGATTGGTAAGTTGAACTGTATTCTATTCTGTGTTGGATCTTTAAATATTTTATGAAACCCTTAATTTTTGCTAGTATAGTTTTCTTATGATTATAATTTTAGTGAGTTCAATGCGTTATGAAGACTATCTAATTGACAAACAGGCCTTACACTTGACACTCAAAACTGTTTTTATTTATGTTTTTACTAGACAAATGCTTTTGTAAAATAATCAAAAATCTCGTCTCAAAAATTATAATTGATGTTTTTTTTTTTCAAAATATGACAATTAATTGGCATTATTAGTTTGACCACATGCGAAATTGATTTGTTTCTGCACAAAACTGTGCATATATTAAATAAGTTTTATTTTATATAAGCGGGTTTAAAGGTACCGACTCACTTTGATGTTTAATAAAGCTAGCATTCATAACTTTGCCAAAACCCTCTTTGCTGTTACACGTATTTGCCGGCTAGACCGGAGTGATGCTACCGCCTCACAGACATGAGAGAACCGATGTTTAGCAACTCTTTCGTTCCTTTTCACGGAGTGAGTAAGGTTTCCCAAGGTCCAACCGCCACAGCAGGTGCAGGTGTCTATGGACGGCGATAGTCACTTATTATCAGGGCCTCAATTCTGCTATTGCATGTTAATGTACAAGCCACTATAATTCTATTGAGATGCCATTGACATCGGTCAAAATATCGGTATTCGATAAAAGAGCGTACTCCTTCCTAAAAGGCCGGCAACGCATTTGTGACTCCTGAGTTACAGACGTTCATGGTGAGGTCAGGTGACACGTCTGCTCGTCTGCCCCCTCTAACATAAAAATAAAATCTACTAACATAAATTCACAGTGTCAATAGATTGTCAATGTAGTGACAATGGCTCATAAATGCTGATGTCAACAACATTAATAAAATCAAATTAAATAAATCATTTCCTTACAATTTTAAAATGTACCGTTTATCAAAGTATTGGCACACTTAGTAGAATAGTAGAATACGAAAAGGGCAACACTATTCCGTTGACAGTTTATCGACAGTCTATTGATAAAAAATCTAAATAACAAAATTGAGTCCAAGGATACCCTTTGCTCTTTTTAACATAAAAAATAATGTATTCCAAAACATGGTACTGTAACAGACTCCTATACCGCTATAATACTGAGCTCATAGCTATATAATCATCTAATCACTTATCATTTTCAGGTTGTTCACAAATGGATGCCAAACCACAGAGACCCTAAACTAAGATCTCATGTTGACAAGAACATACTCCTAATACAAATCGACGACAAATTCGTGCCCATTGCTGAAAACTGCGTGCAGGACTTGGGCGATGAAGTGTAAGCTTTATTTGTATTACAGTAAGGACAATAATTGACTGAAAAACTCACCGGAGTTTGGAGTAGTGCACATTGTGTACTAGATACTAAGTGACTACTGATTACTGACTAAAATAGATCTCGGATGAACATAATTATCTATCTTATGCAATGATTATGACAAAAAATATGTTTAGGGTTGCCAGAGATTTTAATTCTCTAAATATTTTATGTTTTCTCTCTTGTCTTGTCGTTTAAACGTTCTAAAAGACTAGACTAACAATAATAGTCACACTACGATTTAATACGATTCAAAATATTCACCAAGAAAATTGATATCTGTGATATTGGCACAAAAAACATATGGCGTTAAAATAATACCTACATTTCATGATATTTTGACCGATTCTGAGCTGGCAACCCTACGCTGTAAATGTCAAAATTTAATTTATTTGTCTGGCAAATGTTGGGTACATTTGTAAGTTTATAATTTTGTTAAATAATTGTCTATGTCACAAAAAATCTTATGATAGATAAATAGTCATATTTTTTAGAAAACGAACTTGGTGAATACTTTATCAAAAGAAATACGGTTGACCTGCCATGTCGATGTTGTCACTCTTGTGTCTAGCAACGATATTCTAGGTCGCTTCACCCATTGTTGAAGGGTCCCTGTCAGCCTCTACACTAGTTGTTGTAACATGAGGATCACTGTACGAATATATATTATGTTACCATCCAAAGCTCCAAGTAATACCTTGATCTGGTAATGATATTTGACCCTCTCGACATTATACCTCGCTGATATATATCAGTAAGAGAATAAAATACTATATTTCCTACTCAGCCCTGAGTAAAGGTCACAATTACATGCCTTTACTATATCTTAGGGTTCATTGTAATTCAATGACACTTTCTTTCAAGTTATGACTCCCTTATGATACAAATACTTATGAATACTAACCTTATAATCAAAGCATAAGGTTTAATTTACGATAGCGTATGCCATTTGACACGACTATCGTAGAAACTAAATATGAATGATCTACCATAAGTTATAATTATTTTTCGCGCTATGCCTTATGTTTCGTTAAAAAATTAAGTTTAATGTTTAACTGTAATATACATGTAACGTGTTCTTGGATAGGTTGCGTTCGATCGATACATGTTGTACATAATTGTAGTTGTTTGCGATGCAAAATTTAGTGTTATTTGTTTGATTTTTGTGACTTCAGATTTCGACACTAGACCATTTACACAGTTGTCAATCGTCTTGTGTCAAAATGCGTGTATTACAACCTATTCGGTCAGTCGGCATAAATATCGATATATATGAACATTTATCGATTTGAAAAATATGTCAAGTATACTGTAAAATGTTCTAAACGACTCCCTTTGGGTGGTTTTGTTACAAAAAATATCGAAATAACATTAAAAATAATTGCAAAACAATAACATGCTTTGTTGAGTGTGGGGTAGCTTTATTTTAGCTTAAAGATGTAAATAAATGTAAATAATGTAAAAAAATATAAAACAAAAAATGTATATTTGTCTCTTTATTACACGAGAAAAGAAACTTAATACAGTACATTCATAAGTAGAAAGAATTCCTTTTTTATTATTTTTGTTATCGCATTATTTTTCTAAATTCGTTTTGTATATGCCAACCGCTGTATACCTTAGTCCTTTGACACCAAATGAATGTGTATTATTATGTGTATTTAAATTATTTATAAATAATAATTGTGTAAGTAATTGCTGATGGTTGTGGGGTCGAAGATCGTCCTGTTTTGTAGCGTTGTATCGTTTATAAAATCGGGAAAATGATACCAGTATAGAGGATCTTGGAAGTAATCATATTGGTGGTATTCCCGGACCGATACGACCATCAAACCTTCAATAAAAGAGTGTACTCCTACCTAAAAGGCCGGCAAATCGTTTGTGACTCCTGAGTTGCAGACGTTTATGGGCGGCGATGGTCACTTTCCATCAGGTAACCCGTCTGCTCGTCTGCCCCCTCTCATAAAAAAATATATATTACATAGTTAATACAAACACACACTCGATCTACATTAAGCCGGTGATGATTTTAGTTCCACTTCATGTTTCACTTCCCGCATCACATTGAGGAAACTTTTTGCCTTAAACTAGCACTGGGAAGTTAAGGGTTGAAAGAAAAAGGGTCGCATACCTGTAAATCAAACTGGTTTTTGCTGGCAAATTCGAGCACTCTAAGCATAAATAATGTTTCTTTATTATAGATACAAAATAATAGACATTTCGTTGCAAAACTATAATTAAAAGTACATGATTCGATAATAGCAAAATTCTATATTTCTATATTTCTACAGAATTTTATTTCTTAAATGTTTTCTTAAAAATTTCTGAAAGAGAAGCTTGCAAGTATTTCTTATTAAAAAAATGAATATATGGTTATATTCGTAGGGAATATCATTTTGTGTATATGCTTTTGGATCTGGATCTTCGACTCTATAACCATTCAACTACGATCTATATTTGTTCATTGTTGTTATGTACACTAGTGCATTTTATATATCACTGTATATGTATTGTTTACGAGAAAATGCAAATTATATTGATAATGTTGTGTTTTGCAAATTTAAGGGGAGTGAAATTATAAATGTTGATTGTTCAGTCGAAATATTGAATATCATTTAATATATAAAATAAAACTGTTTTAAATGTAAGGAAAGCATTTAAAATTGTAATTTTAATATTAAATACTTATTGGTATGATACAGGCATACTTTATGCGGGTAACTTTGGCCTTCAGGGATCAGTTTTTGTTTCTTTTTTACGCAAAAATATATATTTGTACAACACTGAGAAGCATCTGGATGGAATATTATATGGGCGGTCAAAGTGACACCCAAAATGGTATGTTATATGACATAAAATCATAGTGTTAATTCATATCATATCATTTTATTTGGTGTTAAATATAAGACCAATAAAATGGAGTAATCCTAAATTCTAACCACGGAAAAATAATTACAAGAGGAAGCCATATAGTTCATTTACTCTATTACAATTGGCTACTTGCCACATAACGCTTGAATTTACCTCTTATCCATTATTTTCAGATAATATTATTTTTGGTATGTTAAGAAGAAAGTTAATCATTTGCATTCTAATATGGCAAAACCAGGTAACGAAAAAATATTACAAAATGTAGATTCGGCTTGTTTTTATTATTCCGTGATCCCAACATTCACATAATCCCCAAAGCGTTGAGATAATTTATAAAATGTAATTCGTTGATTTACGCTCTACATTGCTGCGGATTTCTTACTATTTGCTGATATTTAATTACACTGGCAATATGGGAGCCCACAACCCATACCTGGCAATATTCGGTGGTCTTTTTTTTGTGAAACAATAAATTATAGACGATTTTGTTACCATGAACGATCGTTTCCTTCCCAGGAATACTTTCTTAAAATCTGCCATCATACACTGTTCATGGCTAATAAAAAAAACATATTTTTGTTCTGTTATATATAACACGTAACCATTTAATGCAAGAAAATGTCAAGGAACAGAGTTATATGCTTACCGTATTTCTTTTTTTTTCAAAACAGTAGAGACCTGAGCTGTTTTCTTAATAAAGACAACTCCTGCACTAGGAATATGTCCTGTGTCGTGGGAGGCTTTACATACATTCATGAAACGGATACTAAAAACACCCAGACGCAGAACAACAACTTGTAGATCACACAAAGTGGTGTCCCTTGTAGGGATAGAACCCAAAACACTCAGCGTTTCAACGCAATCTTTAATTTAAAGAAAACTCAAATATTAGCCGTCAGTGTGGCACTGTCACTATCACTTCTGTTACCCACTTATAATAATTGTTTGCAATTTTTTACAAATGGATAGTGATCAAAACATTGTATTCAGCATTATATTTGTCACAAGTATTTGGTCATTCTTTGGCTTTAATATTTTATTACTTACTAACCTTTACCCGTGTGCCCTCGTGTACGCCGCATATCGCGGCAAAAAGTACCGTATGTCCTTCCTCAAGAATCAAAGTATTTCCATGACAAATGTCGTTGGTTCGGCGCATTAGCCGTGATGTCGTTACAGATGGACAGAGTTAGTAGGGATCATCAGTAGTTGTTTTTTTTTACATATGTAGTTATTTTATATCAGCAGATGGTAATAAATCATAAGTGGTTACTATACATTTTAACACTCTCTTGCTGTGTCCGTTTGCGATTTACAAATCAATAGTTCCGTCTTCTAAACTTCTAGGTAAAAAAAACGTCTTTTTTTTAATTTGAACAATAAAGACACCAACCTGATGAAAATTTTCATTGTTTCATCTCATAAAAATTAATTAAACAACTGAAAATTTTTTTTAATAAAAAATAAATAATTTATTCTACATTTAAAACGCAAACGGACAACACAAATATATGAATATATATATTATATTCTCAAGTTGCCTTAATATATTTTAGACTGATTTTTTATAATCGTGAGTGTGTCTAAGCCGATATAGATAAATGTTAAGGTGTCGTACAGCGCATGCGCTAAATCATTTAATTGTAAGGACAAACGCAGTGTACTTATTAATATGTGTTACGGCGGTTTCACACTTCTACGTTCGGTTGTACGTTGTGAACGGATATTTGTCGTTGTACCTTAAGTGTTCAATTTGATTATCAGCATTTAAATATTTATTAATGTTAACAAAAATTATAAAGAAACATTTCCTAATATTAGAGTTTTCTAAAAATATGAGTGTAAACAACACTAATATATTTTATATTTGTAGTATGGCAACATTGACTCACTGTTAATATATTAAATTGGTACTCAAATTGCGACAAATATCTGTAAAAATCCGAATTTATATTTCTTACTTTGCAATAATGGTAGAGTTACGTTGGGGCTTCGTGTGTGCGTTAATAAAATTGGACTTTATTTAAATGTAAAAAAGAGTAGATATTTGTACAGTAGGAAGGCACAATCCGTCCACATGTAATGTTTCTGCAT